TATAGATGGACCAGATTTGCATTGATTTGGGTAGGTACCTACCTACCTCACGCGGGAACAGCGAGGATGGGCCTGCTGGTATGTACACAAGGAGTCTCTTCATCCGTTGGGTGGTCCTGGATATGCAGGTTGGATGATGCCTCCCAGGAGAGGTGGCTGTATCCGTATAGTTTGTGAATTTAGGTGTGACATGACAACCAGCGTTGCAGTTCCTACGGCCGAATTAGACGTGCTTTCACTTGCGTGGATTTTACTTTACATAGACTGTGTCTGAAGTATCCAAGGCTTCAAGTTTATGTTGCTGGTTGTGGGCGGTTCGCTCTCGGTCTTGGAGATGGATTCAACACATGATAGAGAATATTGGTGCTACTTGCTACGAATATCCAGTTGCATACATACTACAACCAACAACCCAACAAATCTATGGACTTCCATATCAGCAACGTATCACATTATGCATTAGGACTTCAGATATATATAACAATTGGGATGTGCTTGCCGTTGGTGCCAGTCAGGCCGTCCCGGCCAAGCATTGCATGAATTTCAGAATACTGAGATCGTCGCCGGCATCCATGGATGGGGTTGCTGAGGTTCGCCTGGAACTTGGGTTAATTCATGAACTAAGTATGGCAGACCCAGCAGCGTGCCATCCGGTCCCCAATATCACTTCCTTCGCTCCTTCTAGGCCATAAGCAGCTCCTGTATGCTCCCCCACTCTCGGGTCGCCGTCCCCAGAGCTTGCACCTGGCACCCTACCGTATTCTACATAATAGTGTGAGAGTCCATGGGAGAATATGTGCTGTAACCCCCCTGGCGGGGACTTTGAAGGTCTGGCTCAAATACCTATCATGGCAAGCCATTGTATTGTTGCTGGGGGGGGGTTTTGGGCGGTACACCAATATGTGATAGACACTTAGGCTGGCTGGCTGCCGACTGCAGATACATACATACATACATGGATACTACATGTCATCCGCTATAGGTAGGCTGCGTGCCGTTGCCCAACCGTTGGCCGGGATCGTGCAGGCGGACCGAACATATTTCAATATTATGGGGGACTTTAACGGACGGAACGATACACGACAGGAACCCGTTGCTGTCAGCCTGTCACTGCACACGGAGCGGCTCGCCCTTGTTGGTACAAGACTTGACTGTTGACAGGAGGAAGCTTACGACTACATACATGATGAGCCGAATGGATTTTTTATTAACAGCACGAGACATATACTAAGCTAGGTGTGCTGTGTGGTCGGGCTCGGTTCGGCCCATGACTTGACTACATTATCTGATGCGGTGGCGGCTTCATCCATAATATCGTATCCCTCTTACCATAGATGCTCTGAAATGAGCATGAATATGCATGCGATGGAGCAAGATACCTGGTATCATGGTATGCCCCTTGCTCTTCAAGTAAGCACTAGTTAGGGAGTGGAAGGCTGTCACAGATTCAATGCATTGCAGCCGCCACGGTATATGGGGCATGGGGGAAGGAAGGTAATGCCGTCGATATGCCTTCTTCGATGCCAATATCCGCAATTGTTCTCGCTAACTAGCGCTCACAAACGCCTCCTATATATGAATAATGTAATGCAGAATCATCGTGAGATGGACGCTAGACATGCAAGCAACAAGATCGAGTGGGAAAAACAACCCTCGCTAACCGAGATGTATTGTATGAGGAATCCGCCAACGCCTTGCAGAGGTTTGCTATGATGTAATGAGAAGGAGCGATATGTGGACGGGCAAATATTGCAGTTCGAAAGAGGAAAGGCTCTATTGTGATTTGGGGGCCTGTTATGAGCGACGGCTCGAGCGTACGGTGACGGATTAAATGTTGATTTGATGGGAAAGAATGAGAGGCGAGCCGCCTGAGGAGGAGCAAGTAGCTGATATGATGAAATGCAGTGATTGATATGGTAACTCAAGTGCAGGGACGGCCCAGCGGTGGATCAGACAATCCTTATCCCCGCCGTACACGCTTCCAGATCCGCTTCATGACTCCTTTATCCGTCGTGGAAGCATTCCAGTGGTCCATAGCAGGAAACTTCTCCATGCTCTCCTTGTGAGGCCCATCGGCTAGATATGCACCGCTAGCCTCCGGCGACAGCGGAGCGAGGACCGAGGGGCGTCGGCTATGATGCTGGTAAACGTGCTTTTGTTGCCAGCCGTAAATCTCCTCCTCATGCGCACGGAGGTCCGGTCTCGTCAAAGTCATGCGCAGTGTCATCTCGCGCGACGTTGCAGGCGCCTGAACGTAACCGGGCCCTTCCGTACCCTTGCCCCCAAAATCCCGGTCAAAGAAGGGTTCTGCAGAGGCAAGGCGTGCATGTCGAGGACCGCCAACCTTGCTCTCGAATGGTTCTGGTGTCTTTGGGGAGTCCGGATCCGCCAGAGAGGCCTGGTCGCTGTTCAACGACAGCTTCTCGTTGTCCTCGTCATCTTCGTCTGCCAGGAACGTACGCATATTCGACGAACCGTCCGCCAGCTTTTGGTTGGATTGTCGGCGAAAGCACCCCAGACTGTCCACGCCAGGAGGGGAGATAGGCGAGACCACGTCTGCTAACGGGAATCCGAACTCGACCGCCTCGTCAAACTTTTGCGGCGAGGCGAGGTAGACCCGCAGCTTCAGTCGCGCCTCTGGATCCTGATAGTGCGCCGCCGCGGGATCGAAAGCAGTGATGGACGGTTGAGGAGCGTGCCTTGGCGTGACAAGGGACAGTGCTCGGGATTTGCGCCTGCTATGGCCCACCGAATTCGAGATGCTGCCTGACGGGCTGTGGATCGGCGAGGTCGGGCTCGTGGCATCCTTGGTGCCCGGCCTGCTCAGTGAAACTGAAGCTCGCCCAAAGGGAAGCTTTGATATTGACAGATGACGCCGAAATGAAGGACGTTGCTGCTTCGCCGTGGGAACATCTTCTCGCAAGTTCGCGTGGTAGTCGTCCAAGAAGAGCCGCAAGTCTAGGTCCTCCTCCTCATCCAGCCAACGAAAACTGTCGTAGAACGATTGGGGAATTTGTACGCGTCCAGGTCCACCGAGGGGTTGATTGATTTGCCTCCTAATACCTTCGAGCGAATCCATGCTATTCCGTCGGGGTGAGAGGGGAGGCGTCAGAGTGTCAAGGGCGGTAGAGGCGTCTCTCCTGTTAGCTTGCTGGCGAAGCTTATATACCGCCTCATCGGCCGCGTCGAGAATGACGCTCGCACGTAGTCTTCTTGCAAGAGATACCTGTTTCTCACGGCTGAGCTCTGCGGTTTCTGCCGTATTTGACAAGCCGAGGCACAAGGGAGACGAGTCGGAAGTGGAAAAGCAAGACTCAAGGGCCGATCCACGGTGAGTCTGACAACAGGGATGTTCAGAGCCCCTGGGCCCCGGCTGCGGTTTTCGGCGCCTGGAGTTGGATATGTCGTCGTAATGCCGCGAGATACCGTCGACGAGGCCAGACTCTTGGGCAAAACGCAGTCGTTCGAGAGTCGAGAAGTACTAGAAGCGGGGTGACAGGTCTTTTAGTATCAAGCTCCCCGTAGGCCACACAGTATGTAGGCAGGATGATAGTTCGCCAGGCTAAGGATGCAAGGAACGTCGCGCAAATGGCGGCAGACAGGGGGAAGCAAGGAAAAGGGGTCCTATCCATGGGATCCATGGGCTTTTCGGAAGCGGGACCTGCAGGCCCAGCACCTGCAGGTGCTAAAAGGTCAAAACACATTGAGCTGTGGTGAATCTGCAGGTGCTGTGAGCGCCATGCAACCCAGTCTCAGGCACCGAAAACAATCGCTAGTGGCGCAACGCTCGGTGAAACCCCGGTTTACTCTCACCTCTAGCTCGTCGTACTAGTAGTGTAGCTCGTGTAGTTTGTCGCAAACAGCCAGTAACGCGTACAGTATCAGAGCCATACAGCGTCGAGAGACCGGGAGGGCCAACTAGCCTCGGCAGATCCGAGCAAGGATTCCGACGAATTCAACTTCTGCTCCAAATCTCGCAGCCATCGAGTGATGAGTGATAGACATTTTGGGCTGTCCCGCAAGCTACGATGGCAGCAGCAGCCGGGCGAAAGCAAGGATCTAAGAGCTTCCCCGCTCATTCTCTCCCAGTTACTGGCGCTGAGCATAGCGGGAGGTCGATATGCGTCGCGCGTCGGGTGTAGGCAAGGTGCCATGCGTGAGAACAACAATTAGGACAGCCCGTTCCCATTGGGCCCAGGCAGTGTGAATGTGAATTCAGATGCAGGCCAGCACTTGCAGCAAGGGCCAATGGTGGCAGAGGGGGTGTGAGGGTGGCGTGGGGACTTTTTCTGGGGAAGCGCTGTTGCTCGCAACTGCCAAGGCCGCTGAGCAGGACACAGATTTTGTGGCCTAGCACAAAACCAGAGCTTCTCACAGCCGCGCCACTCGCTTGGGTGGGTGGGTGATAGACGCTACACGTCTTTGGGAAGATGCTGATACATGAATATTTCTTCAAGAGAAAAACAGAGAATGAAAGGCAACCACGTACCTTCCGCTGTATCGCCAATGGCAAAGCTTCGAACTCTTCCCGCGTCATTTGCGGAACTGCTCCAGCTTGAGGCTGCCGTTTCTGAATGCTGCTGGACCTTGAACGACCAGTCCGCTTCGCGTTGCTCTTGCTCCCAGCTTTGCTCCCAGCTACACCACGACCAGACCCCTTCAGCCTCGGTGGTTCTTGACCATGTTCCTGAGGATGCCGCCTCGACCAACGCGTAAATATCAAGGGACTAAGCGTTCGTCCGCTTCTCCCACTACCAGCTGTATACGGGCGCAGCTGAGGAGTCGTGCTTGAAGTAACTTCTGATGGAGCATTCGCTGATGTTGCGAAATAGTCGGTTGCGGGGGGAGCTAGGAACTGTTCCGCCGGCACATCCAAAGTCGATGCGCGCATTGCGAGCTGCGTTTCTACGCTCCCACTCCTGCTAAGGCTGGACGGCCACAGACTGGAAGCGACGCTCGATCTTGATGCTGAAGGAGAGAGGTAAAAGGTGTAAAAGAGTGGAAGGCAGTCGGCGTGTGGAGCGATGCTTTGGCTAGGGCTTTGACGTCTTGTTCGATCTATGAAGAGGCATGAGGGCCGATCCAAATCGGCAGCGCTGTAGTTGCTGATGAAGAAAGGTAGGTCAAAATCTGACTGGGAAGTCGAAGGTTCTGCCAGGAACAGATGACCTGACGGAGCTGCTGGTGCTGTTGCTTCTTCTGATTCCATGCCCAGGCCTGGCATCCACTGATCCACGGGCACCTCGTCAGCGTTAGGGGCGTCAACATGGGCGTCGACAAGGGCATCAACAAGGGTCCGCATTCGTTGATTGGGAGCCCTGGAGCTCACCCATTCGGTGACGGTCTTCAAGCCATCTCCTTCTTTGGGGAAAGGAACAAGCAACGGGGTTTGGTGGTTGCCCATCTCGTTTTAACGCTGGGAATTACCAGCGAGCTGTCCGTACTTCGAGTTTGTTATGCCCTGTACGTTTCGTACTGTATGTACAATACATACGATACGTGTACACGTATGCACAGGTCGAAGCATCAAGCTCTCCACTTCCAGTCGCTCCGTCCAGGGTCCAGGAGTGATTCTGTAATATTTCATAACGTGGGAAATGGCGACCTCGGGGAACGCTCAGCCTTCGCATCGCCGAAAGGCTTCGAAGGCATTTTGCATGCGAGGTCACAGAAAGGCCATTGTCCAGGGCCAATCCCTCCGATTCTTAAATCTTGAGGACAGGCCTTCCGTGAACGATTTTGTGATAGGGGTACCGTACGGAGGTAGTGTCGCCGATTTGTTTCCGTTCTTCGGCAAAAACCACAACCACAAGACATCCGCGGCTACTTCGTACATCAGACGACGCTAATAAATCTAACTTTTTCAGCAAAGCGCTGAGATAATAGTACATACTATTCTTCTACCATTGAAAGAGGCGCGCTCTATAAGTTAGGACTACCCAAGTTCACGTTTCCATCGTTTAACGTACTCGTACGCTATGAGATTCGTATTGTACGAAAACATACGGAGGATGAAACGTGATAATTATTGAGCAAGGTGCCTGTCGCGTGTCTTTCGTGCCCACCCAAGATTCTCGAAAAACAGAAGCCCATTGGAGTGCCCTTCTCTGGGCCGAAGCTATGCGGCACGGAGGCACGCAAACACGCAGCTATATGTAGTAAAGAGGAAGCTACTACGTATTACTTCGTAACCCTCAATCCATTCGGAACCCCCAGTACGCGTATGAATCGTTTGCTTAAGAAATGTCTCCAACATCAGAACAGCGAGCCGAGAAAGAAAACAGCAGAAGTGACCTGCTGTCCAAAATAACACCTCTATACGGATAAGATATGTTACCGAGGGCACCGGGTAAAAGGTGTCGCCCAATTACCAGATGCACGTACCGTACAATACATAGAACTGTACATGTATCTTACCATGGACCCTGGGTTTTGACTTAAATGTAATTCCATAACTTACAAAGCAGAACGAATCCAGTGACCCCCACCCGCACTCCAAGCCTCGCTTGGCATTCAAGATTTCCCAACAGCAGGATGGGTTCAACAGAGAAATACTCGAACTGAGGTGGTACGTTAGGAAAATTCTAGAACTCTAGAGAGGAGGGAAAACTAATAATACCGGTAGTGTCCTGGACTGTTTTTGTTGGACTTGCAGAAGTAGAAAAAAGTTCCCTGCGCCTTTGTCATGTCCGCTGCGTTGCCGCCGTTGCGATCTTGGAGGACTCGGAAGCTTTTCAAGGGATCCACAATCAATCAAGCAGCCAACATGGTCTCCACAAAAGCTTGGCTGGTGACAGGATTGGTAGAGGCTCGTTCAGAGGAAGGCAAGCTGCAGGACGGATTCGTACTGAGCGGATTCCGTACTTGTCTCATTCGCCAATCTCGCGTCAGTGGCCCTCGAAGAACACGTTGGCGCGTGTTCTGGCGCGACTTCTTGCATAACTGCGTGTGGAATCTCTGGATGTTTGAATGTATGCGTACGGCAGAGGTACATAGTATCGAGCAAGGTGGAAAGACTCCTGGAAACTTGACAACTCAGATCGCGGATGCTATTTCTGGCTAGAGACTCCGAACAGCAGCAGAAACTCACCGCCATTTCAACGTTGGAGTGTTGTCTCTCCACGTAGTTAGTCGATACAACCCCTGATCCGCAGCGCTGTGGAGATCTGGCCGTGGGATAAAGGCTAACATCAATGTATGTTTCCCAGTCTTTCCGAGAAGGTTACGAAGTAGCACTGCTTTCAAGATTCCAAGAGCGAATATATTACCAGTGTTCTTGAGTTTTTAGAGAGCCATACTGGGTACTAGTAGATTAGTGATAACTGTCTCTTCTCAACCAAGAATAACGAATGAAGTGAGGCGATAGTACTGTACAATGAGTTTACATTGTCTCTCATGATTGGAATCACCTGACCTCCCTTTTCCTGTCTATAGCTACTACTCTGGCGTTAGCTTTATTCCGTGCCTATTTACCACACGTATCTTGGGCAGATAAAGGCAAAGCTGTCAATTGTTCGGGGAAGTGTAGTTGAAACCATTCTACCCGGTATGTAGTCGGGCTGACAGGGAAGTGGCCTACATAGTGTAGTCTGATGATATTCACCGAATCGAGCCCGAAACTCCTAAGAATCTCCTCGGGCTCGACTCCGGTGTCCGGTTCTCGGCAAGTGACTTCGGCCCGGTCAACGTTCTTGAGTCTTGACTGCCACTAGACCGGCATCTTCCGTCCTTTGCTGTGGTTATCACAAGTTCTTAGTTGAATGCACCACAGCCGAGAGTGGCTTCCGAAATCCACACAGCAAACCTCCAGGGTTATGTAAGTAAGTCTATGCGACCTAGGCATCTGGCAGCCAATCACAATTCGAAACCTTAGCCCAGTTGGACATCAACAAACTGGTCGACACAAGACTGCATCGCACCTGCTGGGAAAAATCATGTTCCCGTCTCTCTCAAGCACCTTCCTGAACCAACCTTCGTTTGGAACTGCGGATCAAATCCCAAGCCTCACCTTCCATTCAGAAAGCATTGCTGGCTGCACCGTTCCACAACCCGGGTCAAAAGGCATTCACAACAGTTACAGTCTTAGTTGCACACCAATCGAGCGAATGGCACCTCCAGTCAACTACAGCAACGCATGAAGCAATCGGAGAGAACGCTTAGCTATGGATGAAAGGGGCTCGAATTAAGCTACCTTTATGAGATAGGCGACTGCACAGCTCGAGCAAGTCCGGGCAATCACACTCCTCTGCGCCTCCATCATGCCCCTTCCCCTCTTCAGTTCCCCCTGCCTTCTTCCCGTCGCCCGGTTCCCATGGCATTCTCATGGGTCAAACCATGCTCCGCATTCTACATGGGGGCGTTTCCAGGCAGCGAGTCAACTGGATCATAATACATGTACACCTTATTCTCCTTGTCTCGTCCAGTGACGGCAGGAGCTGTGTACGTCGAGACACCTGTGGTCCGGTCATAGGAGTGGTAAGAGCATGCCAGCCTCTTGCCACCTCCTCCCGGAAGATCAACGACAAATGAGGGCATCATGAAGCCGGCAATCGAGCCTCGGATCTTTGCCTCAAGATCCAAGATGGTCTGCAGAGGCGTCCGCAGATGCTCGACTCGCTCGACCATGTCGCATTGATAGACGTAGTACTACGCCCGAGTCAGTACGCAAGGTATAGGATGCCCACCCACTCACAACAGGGCCACTCACAGGGAAAATGTTATTGTCAGCGAGGCTGCGTATGAGCGCCGACATGGTCTCCAGGTCGTCATTGACTCCCCGGAGCAGAACTGTCTGGTTGCGAACCATGACACCCTCCTCAAACAGCTTTTGGCTGGCGGCCGACGTGATCCAAGAAATCTCATTCGGGTGGTTGAAGTGCGTATGCCATGCCATGGCCTTCCCAGCCCGCTTCGCCTTATTGGACAGATCAATGAGGGCGTCGACCCATCCGTCAGATTTATCTAGCACCCGTGTGGGTGCCACAGCGAGTCCTTTAGAAGCGAAACGGAAGCGCTTGATGTTTGGCATGCTGATCAGTCGCTCCCCAATGAGCGTGAGCTGCTCCGGCTGCAGATAATACGAGTCTCCACCAGATACGACAATGTCATGAAGCCCCGGCCGGCTTTCAATGTATGCGAAGGCCTCCTCCCAACGCCTGCGCGTTGGCTTGAGGGATGCTTTGGTCACCGTGTCGGTGTCAGCACCAACTGCATATGAACGTGTGCAGAACATGCAGTACGTCGGGCAAACCGAAGTTGCTGTCACCCTGTTAGTGCCTTGCTGCACAACCTGAGCGACACCGCCCTAGCCGACTTACGAAGAAAGAGTGCCTTGTCCTGATAGCGGTGCACAAGGCCTTTGACGGGGGAATCCGCTTCCTCATGAAGGGAATCAAGGACGAGCTTTGGGTGATCGGGTATCATGACTGACTTTAGAGGGAGGAACTGACGGATGATTGGGTCGTGTCGCGGGTCTTGCCAGTTCACACGACTCATGATATACGGCCTACCGAGGTTCAGCAATGAGGACATTTAGTCCGCATTCGGTCGCGGGACACGTCACTTACGTTATGCGAATGGCCATAGTCGCAGCAGTTACGCCGTCCAAGACGTCTTTGATGAACTCATCGCGAGTCTGCATCTGTGTTCCGGACTTATCGTACGGCACCTCCTCAGGCACAACAGCCTGCAGAAACTTGAGCAGCTTGGGCGTTCCTTGGACAGTGTTGGCCACCTAGCAACCAACACACATCAGCCTATGCTTCACTAATAGGGGAAGGTACCTCGGGGCGGGAGCTGTGCCAAACTTACACTCCAACGATAAGACAGGAAGTCAGCAGCTGAGACATTCTCCCACAATGGAACCTTGCGCCAAAACTCGTCATGATTCGACATCGCGGTCGCCACCGGCCGCACGGTGGTGACTATCTCGATGGGGGCCGGCATCCTGCAGAAGGGGGGCGCGACGCCGGTGTCATCATTGTCGAAGGTCTTGCGGGCTTCGGCAGCCTGGGCTTGGAGTAGCGGCTTTGTGCCGACTGCTCGCGCTGAGATTGGCTTAGGCAAGGCCCGCGGCATTCGGCCGAATGGACCCATCCGTGAGATCAAAGACCACATCTTGTCGGCCTTTGATTTGATTGTTATATTGAGTGAGGGTTGAGACAACTGGATCTTGCTCGGGTTCTGTTTTGATTTGAAGGTCGCGGCTCGAAGATTCAGACGTCGTTGTTGTTCGGAGAATCTGGTGCTAGGAGGTTCAGGACCGAGAATCCAGGGTGGGATGTGCGCTTTTATCCTCACCGGCCCTAATTTCCATCCAAAGATTGAGGGCTTGAAGAACCCGCGGAATGCTTGGCGCAACGAACAACCCAGGTCGGTGAAGGGATTACTTCTGCTATCACGCGGTACTCGACCTCGCGGTCCAAGCTGGTGAAGAGCCTAGTTTGGGTATCACGCGGTTCTTAACCCCCAGCCTCACACAGGCGAATGGTTTAGTCTGATATCACGACCTGCTCAACTTCCCAGCCCAGGCTGGTGAAGTGTCTAGTCTGGGTATCACGCGGTGTTCGACCTCCCCTCCCGCCGCGTTGACAGCCAGACCAAACAGAACAATGACACTTCACGACAGAACCTACAGTGAATATGAGACTGTGTGAACTGCTCTCGATCGAAGCAGCGGACGGCACCCCTGCCCCTTTCTGTGGGCAATAGCAATGGTTAGGGCGCCAGGTGCTCTTCGTGTGAAATTGGTGCGCTCACAACTTGGTCCCTTCGATCCCATCACAGTTGAATAACACAGCCACTCAGTGCAACAACACCCTCCAAAAGATCCAGATATAACAACCCAATTCGGCGACCTGGCTCTGTCGCAGTGTGCCGTGTTTGGTCCGTTTCGATCTGTTGGTGTTCCTGCTGCTGAAGGGGAGGGGGGCACAATACCTTAACCTAATCCCTCGATGCCTTGCTTGCTCTATAGAACATCTCATCCAAAGTCCGTCCTGGTTTTCAAAGATGACAACTAGGAAGGTCTGCTGTCGGTCAAATCTGGTCAAGCGACCTTCCTCCAAACCTGCCAGTCCTTGATCTGCAATATGGTCAGCAACAACTTTTCTCCTTTTTGAGTGGAAAGCATCAATCCAGTTTATAAGAAGGCTGCTCATATTGGAGTACCCTACCCCTTGCACACCACAATCCTCACAAGGAACCAACAGGGCTACCTCTACCAAAAAGGCAGCTGCTTCTCAGTCTGCTGAGGGATTCAGCTCTGGAGGTCCTGGCTCTAGCCGTTGGGTTTGTTCGTGTCGACTCGACTCTTAAAGAGAGACCCTCTGGTTGGCTTCACTATCCGATTTCAGTATATCGTGGTCAAGACAACATTACGCGAATTGCTGTCAGAAGCGTGAGCGTAGTCCACGTTATATATCGACTAGGCCATAATGGCTCGGCAAAGCTCTAGCGGCTCACGCAACAACCGGAGAGACCAAGGCAACCCTGGATCCAGGTATGAACACCGGCCCGCCCCCAAGCGAGGCGGTATTGCAGAAAAAGTGATAACTGACATCTTGCCTCCTTGCACTAGTAACGGGAGCATCGAGCTCCCCGGATCCAGCGAAAAAACAAGGCTTGAGGATGAACAGAACCTCAGGGATCTGGAAGCCGCACACGGCATCGCTGCTGCAGGCCAATCTGATGGGGCGCCACCGACAAGGGCGGCCGCTGGATGGAGGCCTTGGAAGGTTATGATAGGTTGCTTCTGTCTCACGGTTCCCACATACGGGCTACTGAGCAGTATCGGGCTGTTCCAGACTTACTGGCACGAGCACATGCTCCAGGGCTATTCAGAGAGCGAGATCTCGTGGATCATCTCCGTATTCGGCTTCCTTACTTGCCTCTTTGCATCGCCTGCAGGGATAGTCTTCGACCGCTATGGATCGGCTTGGCTACTACCGACGGGCAGCGTGGCATATATTGTCTCTTTCATTGGCCTGACGTTTTCGTCGACATATCAGGAACTCATGGGCTGCATGACACTGGCGGGCGTGGCTGCCGGTAGGTAGATCGATCCGGGAGGCCCACGGCCGTGGTTCAAGCTGACAGTAGTGGCATACATAGCAATCCCTACAACCATAGCGTTTAGCGTCATCAGCCAATGGTTTCAAGCCGGGGCCGGTGTCCCGGCCGGCTTCGTTTCGCTGGGTGCGGCTCTAGGCGGCATCTTCTTCTCTATGGTCCTCCAAGTCCTCTTCCAAAATTTCCAGTGGAAGTCCGCGGCCCTCATACTCACCGCCATACTCGCTTGCTTCTTGCTCGTGGGAAATATTCTGGTCAAGACCAATGCGGTGGAGCAAGCAGCAGATAATAACGAAGGCTACGAGCCCACAAAGATAGCAGACATGCTGCGATCCCCCAAGTTTTGGCTTGTCAGCTATGCCCTTTTCGGTGAGCCATCTCAGCCTCCCAGACTAACGGAGCCAAGTGATCGTGGGCTAACAACCCCACCTACTTCATACAGCCTACGAGCTCGTACTCTTCATCCAGTGGGGTTCTATCCCTTCCTACGCAGTATCTGCCCAAGTTGGTAGTATCCAGTTCTATTTGATGATGTCGTACAACATGTGAGTCGTCCTCCCTCCAGTCTGGTGGCGTCTGCGGCTGACAAGAATGTCACGGTAGTGGCGCCGTGTTTGGACGAACCGTTCCCCCTTACGTTTCGGATCGGAAGCTTGGCTCGATAAACACCACCATATTGATGAATATTTTCACGTTGCTCGTCGTGCTGGTGATATGGCTTCCTTTTGGCGGCTCTTCGACTGCGGCCCTTTTTCTTGCCATTGTCCTTATGGGGTTTGGCACAGGAAGCTTCGTTCCTCTTGGCGGTATGGGCTCCCTTACTTTTTTTCCCCTTCGGTCAAGATGGCGGTCTGGCACCTTTGCTAATTAATGCGTTCAAAGTCTCATGCATCAATGCACTTTGCACCCCGCAAACCGCGGGGACATGGATCGGTTCAGTCTACAGTGTCGTCTCTTTTGCGTAAGTGTCTGATGCCCTGAAGCTGGCTGCCCATCTGAGAAAGCTATCTGTTAACGGGCGCGCACATATTACGGCAGCACCCTAATTGGCAATCCGGCTTCAGCAGCCATCCTTGCCCAATACAAACCCAGCGGTTTGGTAGGCTTTCTAGCCGCGGTCCTCTTTTCCGGGCTTGTCAGTGTCGGGGCTCTTCGGTGGCTCTGCCATGGGCGTCGGTGGATCTTGAAGGCTAGGGTTTGAGGTTTGGTCTGCTGAGAAGTCGCGCTGATTATTGGCTGCCGGGAAGTTCACAGGGTGAGTTGGACATGCATGGTGGGTGACACAACACCGAGCCCAGCAACTGGTTGCGTCTTGCTGTATCTCCGAGTGGTGGCTAACAAGCAGGAAAACGGCCTGGAGCGGAGCGTTTGGATGTCAGTGTAATCAACCGTACAGCAGTGATTTCTCTTGCAGGATCTGAGGTTGTTGATTGGTAGTGGCCATCAACGGGGCGAATGCACCAGGAGTAAGCACCTTCGGTGAAGGTCGGCCTGCTTGCTTCGCGGTATTGACCGCCTCATTGAGACGGCTTCATATCAGGGCGGTGTGGCTGGCTGATAGCAATTGCGGCGCCATATTAGAAACATGGACGAGCCAACGTTGATGCAACGGAATGACATAAAAACTTCCCCAAGCCCGGGATAGACTTACAGGACGGCGCGCCGATCGGCGCATCTGGGTTACACAGCAGATCTGGAAACCAGGGTTGGGCAGCTCCCGGCAGCTTGTCATCGAGGTGTGCCTTTCGTAAGCCTTCCTAGTACAGTGGTGTACTTCGTACATACAGTACGTATCCTACACCATTGACGTGTAGGTGATTGTGATGAATCCCATTTTCTCCTATCTTCCCCAGTTGATGAGCTAGATATGCCGAGACTGACTGTACCCTCGATCTCGTGGTGTCCAACCTGTCCGTGTGGTGCTAACGATTTCCCCCGCGCTTGGCTCGCGTGCTGGGCCTTTTTTGCATGTTTCTGTCGATATACGTTACACATGGGTGATTACTGTGTATATCCGCCAGAGCATGGGAATCCCTGAACCCCTATTCATCCAGTATCAAGTTGGTGTAGCCCAGTGTAGGTAAGCCAGTCAGCCTGCAGCCACGCTAGACACACGCATGATACGCATGTATGTACAAGTACAGTGCAGTGATTGCCTACATCCCCAGGACATACTTTATGATAATATTATCAGCGTTAACAGTAGATGCGGCGGCTCCTGGCAGGATCTGGCGGAAGGGATTTCAAGGTACGAAGGTGCGTGTACATACTTCGAGTTGGACCATGGTAAATGTAACTTAGATAAGGTACTGCAAAGCACCGCCGTCTTCCGTCCCGTCACTTGGGTCTGCCTCCAGCCTCCGTCTCCGGGGCGTCCCGGCCCGGATGTTTCTGCTTCCCGAAGTGGAATAATTTACTAGTACCTAGCTGCTTTTGTACTATAGCATCTCACTATACCAGACTAAACTATTTACTGAACCATCTACAATTCAATGCTGGTTTGTTCGTTAGTTCGGAACCAACCCCGCTTTTTCTAACCAACCACAGCCCAGAGATGCACAGGGCCCTGACCAATCGAACCACGCGCATCTGCAAGCTACCCCATTTCTGGGCTTACATAACCTTCGACTTTTCCACCCGAGCTTCCACCCTGGCTTCCACCCTGGCTTCCACCCTGGCTTCAACTTTTCCTCTTTCTTCAACCTTTCTAGCCGACCATTCCTCTTATATTTTCAACGTTACAAAAATCACTCGAATCAACAGGGCCCCAAAACAGCTATTGCCGAGGGCTTTAAATCAATGATTCGCGTGTCAAACCAATACCACCTTCGTAAAGAAGCTGGTCCGTTCGATGCCTCCGTCGGCTAGAAGCCGTGATTTAGAACGAAGGAGGTACACTGGGTACTAATTTAGACTCTTCTGCTCATCCAGATTGTATGGGATCTTAGGTTTCTGTACGTAACTTGCTGTCTCTCGCTACCTTAGGTTCTCTGCAACTGAATTGATTGGCTTGTTACCCTTGTTCAGATCCACTGTATGTACCACGCTAACGAACAAACCAGGGGGACATTGTACACCATCGAGGTATTCGGGGTGACTATCATGTCCCGAGGGTGAGAGGGCCAATTGTTCTGTCCTAGTTTCCTTCTCTTCCCCCACCTCCTGGCCTGGAAGCATGCTCAAGCGGACCGGGCCTGGCGCATAGCCGCCTCGGGAATCTCCCAGCTTCCAGGAGACACCCTCACACATCTCCCGTTATGAGTACATACATAACGTTGGCTACGCTGCATGCATAGATAGTAGTGCACATCCGTAGACAGCTGATGTTTGGCGTCCTGTGGCCGGACCGTATCAACTAGCGTCTTCCTGAAGCTCTTTTCTTTTTCTTCTCTTCTCGTTTTTTTCCGCCTCTTGCTTCTTCTTCTACACGCATGCAGTGGTTTGCATGCGTGCTGATGCTTTGCTTTGCCTCCACCGCTCAATCAGGGCCGGTCCGAAGCCATTCAGTCGGTAGCAGCAACGGGCGGTGTGTACGAAGGGCTGACTGACAAGTGCCGCCGTTGGTGGTAATACATAGCAAGAGTGTAGGAAAAGAAAGAAAAGGCGAACCAAGGGAACAAAGGAAACGATCGAAAAAATAAGCACAGAAAAAAGAAAGATGGTACGATGAGCAAGAAGCCGATCATACACGTGTACAGTACAGTACCAGTACGTACTGATCTTCCGTGACAGCGGCATGGGTCCAGAGTACGGAGTATTGTGGATTCAGGTAACATTGCCAGGGATCCAGGGTCCACACCCATGCTCACATCTAGTGCAGCCCGATAAACGAGGCTGGGCCGCTGGGGCACGGAGTAATTGCTTCGTACTTGGAAGATGATGCAGCTTCGAAAACGAACCCCCGGCAACACCTTATGTGTACGGTGGTACTTTCCTTTGCGAATCCGTGCTGTACGACGGACAGCCATGGACAGGCAGTAAGCAGGAATCCCTCCGCCGTGCTTCGGCGTGCGCGACCTGCAACCTGTGCAGAAACTCGACGGTGCATTGCACTGCAGGATAGCGATGAAGACGTCTTAGTCGTCGACAACCTCTTTTCCTATCACTCACAGAACAGCGTCTTTCGAGAAATCTGATAACCCGGGGTTCGTGCCCAGCATACCTTGGTGTATTGGATGCAAGCTACGGCATGGGGCCCGGACGGAGCATGGGAGAGAGACATGGAGGGTGGGGGGCGCAGGGTTTCGTTTGGATGACGGAAGCAGATGTCTCGGGTTATGTGCTCTGACTGGTGTGATGTGGGGGTTGATGTTGCCAGACGCATGTGGCTTCCCTGACTTTCGTTCAACAAGACGTGTGCGACTGCAAGAGATTCCCCTTTCGAGAGAATGAGAGGGGCCGGGAGAGGGGACAGAGTGAAAGAAAGAGAGGAAGGGGAAGAGAGAGAGAGGCGTAGCAAGAGGCAGAGAGCCAGGGTGCAGCAGCGTAGGAGCGTATGCTCCTGACCGCGCAACAATACTTGATCAAGTTTACATTCCTGCCTAGCGGTGAGCAAGGCTGGGCATTTATTTCTCTGTGCACATTGTGGTTCGTTGGTCCCGTCCTCTCCATGGCGCCTTCCCATGTTCGCTCGTAACCGGGGAACTGGGCATGCGTTTGAGGATCTCGTCGCTCTTGCGTGCGATACCGAGTGCTTCGGATTCTGTACCCTTCTTCAAGTTTGCTCCGATAACTTACATTTCAGCGTTAGACATGAAGGGGATTTTAGGACCAGTATGGTGCTGTAAACGTCTCGCTCAGAAACAGGAGTTTTTATGGTAATCTGTCCCCGAGCCGGGCGTCACACTGGGCTGCAGCTGCAGAAGTTGTGTTACTCCTCAGGTCGTGGAACTCTTTCCTCCCGTAAGAATCTGCGCAAGACAACATGCACGCAGGTGCCTACCAGGCAGGTGCTCGATTCCGTCATCAGCATGTAGCTACGGTACTTCGAAAGGTACGACATCTGTTAGTACAGCCAGATTTTTGTATGCAACAACGATCCTCTCTACTACCCCTCTTAACAGAACTCCCGCCCAAGGTGGTCACTGTGGTCCAGGGCTTCAAGGCATCCCCAGGGAACAACATGTGCCAGTGGTCAATTACCTGAGGTTCTTTGCCCTGGTCGTCGAAGTCCAAGATTGGCAGGTCAGACAGTATATCAAGCCTTGGACATCGAGTTGGTATGGTGGAACGGTAAAATGCAAAGGATCATTGATGACTGCAGACCGTACCATAGTCTCCATGAGAGGATCGTAGGCGCTGATAGCCTGATCGTATCCTAGCAGTCTTGATCCTCCCTAGTATCCGTTAAATGAAGACATACTTATATAACACTTGAGTGGCCTAGGCGGCAAAGACATGCCAGTTACCTTAGTATAGTATAGTCCCACACCATTACCAGCTCAAACACACAATGTAATGACCAGCTCAATCCTTCCCCTCTTAACTGGACATCCAAGCTGCAACGAATCAATCACTCAGGGCAGGTTATGGTCAATGGCCATACACTGTCTTACGACTCCAAGCTAGTCTACCGAATCCTTTGAGGTCATGAAGCGGAGGAGGTGTGTTATGGGCTAAGATAGTTGCTTGAAACGGGGGCGTCAGCCTGCCGGTCTTGATTTGCGTTTGGACTGCAAGGCAAGGGTCCATCCCTTATTCCTTGCCTTGATAGGGCCCTCTGCGAACCTGTCTTCTATGCTACCATCCGTGCAAGGTATAACCTTGCCCATGGGAAAGGACAGATGAGACTACGAATGTCTTCGTCAGGAACTGAATAGACCGGTGCCCGACCAGCGCCCAAGGACAGACTGCGAGGAAGGTTTCTTCTCATGGTCATCAACGCTATATACAATCTGGTGTACCACTTCCAATAGACAGAATTGCTTTCAGAAGAGATAGCGAAGGACAGCGTGATGACTGCGGGCCAAAAACCAAAACAAACGGCTAGAGTTTGCTCAAGTGTCAAGTTTGAACCAGACGGTATCAAGTTTAACGCCGAATCCCATAGCTCGCCAAAGGTGGTTGAGAGGATCTTAGGACTGTCCACTGACGTTTCCGGGTGGTAAGGGGGTGAACCTGCCTAACTAGGGTATATCTTGACGCAAAGCCAGCTTAGATTATCCCGCCAACCCCCAGCAATAACCCGTTTCAGGCCTGCCCTGATGGACAGACAGCTGTGGCTTCTGATCCACTGAGACTAAAAAAGCCATCGGAGGTCGCCTCAGAGGCCAAGCGACAGCCGACGGTTCGGTAATTAACAAATACCCGCACTTGGCCCCCTTCGGCGTGAGTTCCTCGCTGGCTGCTGGGCACAACTTACTCCTCCCCGAGTCTATTGCTCTGGGAATTGCCAGATGGATAAACTTCCGCCGTGTAAAGAAGTATCGTGTCATGCATGACCTGCACCATGCGAAATATTCCAACAAGGGAATCGCTTGCGAGAAAGGCAGGGACACGGGTAAATGGCCCGATACCAACGGCCTAGACTATTCGAGTCTGGCGGCGGGACAGGTTGGCGCGCAGCTACAATCTGTTTGCCCGACGGTGTGATCAGGATACTACGCCTGTAAACAACTATACGTGCAAATATCGTCAGTATTGTAACGTAGCAACACCGTGGTTTTGGTGCATTTAGAGTCTGTGCATACCCCAGGAAATCGCCGTTGATGCTGCCAATAGCCCACATTTCGCCGACCTCGGTTCTCAGACCAATGATCTTGGCTCGAATATGAGTGCCCTGCTCAATCACCCAGTCGGCGTTGTTGGTGAACTGGGGCGGAGCAGCCGTCGGGTCCCATTGAATCTCATCAGGCATCAACTATGAAAGGCGTCAGCCATTCTGTAATCGCAGCGACGGCGAGGAAGTGGGCGCGAGGAGCGTACATGAGACGAAACGAACAAGCTCAGTGGCCCTGCCTTTGCAAAAAATCCGTGCTGGTTGACTGTATCGACAATGGCATCAACCTGGCGATGTCAGCAGACGTGAACCGGGAGAATGCCGCGCCGCCGAAACGGGCTTCACTCACTACTTCGCCTTTGAATGGCCGCCACACAACGGCTCGGTAGCCGACCGTGAACTCGGCCAGGCCGCTTCCGGGAAGGATACGGCCTTCGGATACGTCAAATGTGTCCATGATGGCAATAATGTAGTAGTCGCCCGCGCACGTTCCCTCGACATCCTTGACGAGTTTCGTTGTGACCAGTTCATGCATATTTCGCCCAAAGTATGACGGGTGCAGCGTGACGCGCCGCTCGAGGTTGTGGAGGAAGAACATGTTGTCGGAATAAGACGCTCGACTAGTCGCTGTGACGGCGTTCACAGGAATGCCTATCGAGTGCTGTGATGGCACGAGCCTGCGGAGGCGGAGACGGAGCCGGCGAAACGAGACTCGATTAACCTTGAATACCGGACAGCAAACACAGCAGGGCGTCGTTTGCCTCGCCTCGATCGACGGATGGAATATGAAGGACACCGAAGGTCGAGGACGGAAGTGGGTGGTAATGCGCGCCACCGTCTTGGAGTTCGCTAGAGCAACCCAAGAGTCAAAACAGCCAGGACGGGGGAACAGGCTGGAAATCGCCATACACTTCAAGTTGTTGGCGGCTTGATTAAGCTATGGTCAGTGCTCAAGCTGCAGGAACCGTTGTCTTCTGATCTTCTCCCTAGTCAGTCTTGGCACCGCTCTTGCTGCAGGCCCTCGAGGTGCGAATTGTGGTTCTCCAGGTATTCACACTATAGCGTACTGTAGAAGACTGCGGCTCTCATGCCATTGCATCAAGAGTTGTATCATGCGTAAGACACCCGTACTTGTAGACCGGAGGCTTTATCGACAAATCTTCCTGCTTTGTTCCCTTTACATGTCTCCAAAGCCGGTAGAGATTCCGCGTGCGTCATCACAAACAAGCTTTTGCTATCCCGAACTTTACACTACACACAGGTACGTAACGAAATGGCCTGCGGGATCTTTTCCAGACTTTGCAATCTAGCCCTATGAGGCTGGCGTCGCCGAGCTCAAATCATTGTTGTCGTGCTTCGGCCCCATGGGGAATGAGCATGGGCTTTGCTCCTAGTGGCTCCGCTATCCGAGGTACACTACAAAAAGTTTTGGCGTGGCCAGGGGGCCAACTCACCTGATGGATGCCCGGATTGCTACCTTACCCGATCTCACCCTCACACTTGACCAACACGACCGACACATTTAACAGACACCATCGAACCATTTTTATGTCCGAGTTGTCATGTGTCGTTGACTGTTTTTGAATTGACTCTGTCATCATCTTGATTTCCTACACGTATCTTTCTCTGGACCGGTATTATCATCACCGTGTCTTTTGATCGTGATCACGCGACTCCAGAACCCCGCGCATTCACCAAACCATTCCTCGGCTCTTCAAAATTCTCTTAGCTCTCAGCATGTCCCTCAACTTGGAGAAGCAACTCACTTTCGTAAGCATACCACAATTTCTGTCCGGTTTGATTACGTTCCAAGGCTCTTACATCTCATGATCTCCGGCGTCTAAAACAAGGGCTAACACACTCATTCTCCGGGCAGTATGGCGCTTATCACCACAACAATGTAAACGTGATCATTCACATTGTTTGCGTGCCATTAATCTTATTTTCATTCTTTGAGATCGTAAGCGATTTCGTCCCTCGCCCAAGCCATTCTACGATACGAATGCCGTGCCCTAACTCATGAAAAAGGCTTCCAATTATGGCCCCTTCTTCGAACTTCCTCCGTGGCTCCAGATACCCTACCTTGAGCCTAACCTGGGGACGTTTGCGGCCCTGACATGGGGCGGCCTATATCTTCTCCTTGAGCCTGTTGCAGGAGGGGCTCTGGCTCTCATTTGTCTTGGTGCAGCAGCTGGCACCAATTATCTGCGCCTGCTGGACCCGGCCGGCACTACACGGATCGCGATAGCAGTTCACGTTGTGTGCTGGCTGCTGCAGTTTGTCGGCCACGGCAAGTTCGAGGGTAGGGCTCCCGCGTTGCTGGACAACTTGTTTCAGGCCATCTTCCTGGCCCCGCTGTTCGTCTGGCTTGAGCTCTTATTCATGGCTGGATACCGTCCCGAGCTGAAGAAGCGCGTCGATAAGGCTGTCGAGATCGAGATTGAAAAGTTCCGGGCACGCAAGGGCAAGAAGGCGGATAAGACCCAATGAGACGTTCAAACCGCCGGGAGATCAACTCCGCAGCATTGCAGACGGACACAAAGAGTCGTCAGGGCAATTTTGCAAACGAAGGGATGGAAGTTTCAAAGAGGAACAGAGCGGGCGCTCCGGTCTGTTGAAGCGGTGAAGGCTGAGCTGAGAAGGTCCTGAATTGGGCGGACTGTCTCGGTTGTCGCGGGTGCGATCTGTATCACGGGCGACTTGAGCGTCGGCCTAGATACTGAGACCTGCTGGTTGGGCATGGTAGGTTATTCCGTACCATCATCGGGCTCCCGGAGGGTGGTTGGGTCAATTCTGGGGCCTGCGGGCTTTCTATATGGCAAGACCACCCTACATCGGCATTGAATATGCATGTACAGGTACAGTCGCGAATAAATGGCAGCGCTAGCTTTGCGATGACAGCTTAAGCAGGAAGTTTCTGTGCCATCTGATGTCGCGTGCTGCTGGAGTTCAAGTTCCCCAAAAATCGCATCGACATACTTAATTCACCGCCTGCATAAGAAGCCTCAGAGTGCGCAGAGATCCTAATCTGACAGCTGCAAACGGAGATCGGGTTGAGAAACGGAAAATATTGAAAGAAAAATAAAGCAAGTGATATCTCATAATCTATAGCAACTTACCAGCATTGCAGCCCAAGGGTCCAGGACTGTCGGGCCTTGTGTTGCCGTCGTCAAACTGCCAAGTGGACACCTCAACGGCCACTGGCAATTATTGAACGTGTCTCACTGTCTCACAATCTTTCCAAGTCGCGCCACCCCACATTGACCTGGCCCATGAAAACATTCGCGCCCACATCGTCGCTTAGCGCTTTCGAAACATCTACCTGAAGCGATGGATCTACTAGTACACTGGACATTAGATTTTCTAGAAGGTACGCCTACCTACCTATCTCCTGGCCAAACCGAACCTGAAGCTCTCCATCCCGCAACCTCAAATCTGCCAGTCCCATCCCACTAACAAAACGGGGATACATAAAACCAGACGTACTTCCACAAGAGACGCTCGCTTCCCTCCGCGCGTGGCAGACGAAGCTGCTGCACCCGTCGTCGCCGCTGAGCCGGCTCGCGCAACAGAGCGTCGCCCTGCTCTCCACGACGGCGGCCATGACATACCCGATGGTGGCGGACGCGCTGGACCGGCTGGCGGCGCTGCTCGCGACGGCGCCCAACGCGATCGGCGTGGTCCTGGTGCTGGTGCTGGCCGTCGTCGTGCTGCAGGTGCTCAGCCTCGTGCGCCGCATCATGCTCTTCTGGACGCGCCTCGCCCTGCGCCTCGTCTTTTGGGCCGTCGTGGGTCTGGTCGCCTCGGCGGTCTGGCAGCGCGGCGTGGGCCGGACCATCCAGGACGCCGTTGTCATTGGGAGTAAGCTGGTCGGGTTCGTGTCCGGGGTGGTGAATGTTTGGATTAGGGAGTACGAGCGTGCTCAGGCAGAGCAGCAACAACAACAGCAGGGTTATCGATATCAAGGGAGGAGTGGTGGCGGTCGGTCTGGAGCGGGATGGTGATGGGTTGGGTTGGATTCTGCTTAGAATGGACACAGGGACGTTACGGAGTTCATGGCCGGAATCTTTTCGGAAGGTTTCCATTATGGGATGGTAGTTGGAATGCACCTGGGCTGGTATACCAGGTTCTATCTGTTTTTATTGCCGAGCAAAGTTGGAGGGAATATCCTGTCAGAACCAAACCAACCATTTTTACCACCAGACGCCGTCGCTATGCATCATGATACAGAGACCAGCCAAGGCCACGTTCCCAAGGAGCGCCTCAAGCCCAACAAACCAGACCATATCGGGACACCGAATAACCAAGTAAAGCCGTATATGGTGTGGCTTTACTCATCCAGAACACAGTTGTTTATTCCTCAGGCTCCAACTCCTCCTCCGGCGGTTCCCTCGGCTCCTGCGCTTCGTGGTACTGGATGCAGTCATCGATATAGCTGAGGATCGCCCCGATGCTATCCTCGTTGAAGCTATCAAGCTTGAGGTAACTGACCATGCTAAAGCTCTCAATCAGGTTTGCAACAGCTGTATTGAGGCGCTGAAACGATGTCCCAGACATAAGCGCATCCTTGTCCTTTGGGTCGGCGTTATGCACGTCAATGGTGACGCCGGCCTTCTTACGCGCCGCGGCTCCCGGATCGTCGTCAAGCAACGTCGTATCTGGTGTGATGAAGCGCTTAAGATCTTTCTTACGGATCTGGTCCTTGACCAGATCCATCTTGCTCAGAATATTAAGGTGGGGCACCTCCAGCATGATCATAGCACTCATCGCGCTGAGCGTACCGGCAAAGTACTTTGCTCGGTCTATCACGAATGTTGCCTCGAGCAGATATGCCGCGCATAACCTGATATCAAGTGCGCCAGGTTGTGTGAGGAACTTTACTAGTGTCGGCAGGATGGGAATATGTGTGTAGAGCTCGATCTGGCCAGGCATGTCGAAGATGATGAGGTATTCCTCGGTCAGCGAGTCGAGTGCCTCCGAGAGGAAGTCGAGGTTTTCCATGAGGAATTCGAAGCAGTAGATCAAACCCCCGTTGGGTCCGAGTTTCAATTCGTCCATTACATCCTCGAGCGATATCAGGTCCTTGATATCCAGGTCGGGCTGGTGCTCGAAGTGCTCGGCGGCCGGGTCGAGATTCACGTAGAACGCGGAACGTCGGTTCAGCTGGAGATGGGTAATGAGATTTGCGCAAAAGGTGGACTGCAGTATGCGCAATTAGTATCGTTCAACCCGTCCCCTTGGCCGTAGTCGATAACTGGAAGCCATCATACCTTGCCCGCCCCCGCGGGACCCATCACCATGACCCCGTATTTGCTCATTTTCGGTAATTCTCGCTGCAACGGTAATTCCGCTTGAGCTGAGCGTGTTTGAGACCCCTTTGGGGGCCGGGCTGCTCTTTCGAGTTAGTCGCGACGAAACTCTACGTGAGAAGCCCGGGATATCTCGCAGCCGCTCGTGGAAGTCGGTGGAAGTCGCTGAAACCGTCACACAGAATACTCCCGCGGGCAGCATCCAGCAGATAAGATATTGCCTTGGGCGTTATCCAGGCAAGTTGGGCAGCTTCCAGAGATGAGACCCCGCTGCCAGATATTTTGCCCTGAGATCCTTACAGCCCAGTCCCTTTCGCACATGCGCAAGCCTGGTCGAACTTGGCGTTCAACAAGTTTGCCGAAGAATCGGATTCCAGATTTCTAGCGCTTTTTCTGGAGTCTGCCCCGCTGTGGGGTGGTGAAGCTTGACCCTCCAATGGCGTGCCTGCCATGAGGGGACATGGTTCGGAGGGGCAAGCAATGGCGCAATCTGTCGAAAACAGACAGGCCGAAGTACTGGCTACCCGACCGGCAGCTGGAACCATGCGCCGGTACAAAATACGGCCTTGACTTGCTGAGCCGATATAGTCCAGATTTTAGGAAAAGAGGCAAGATTCAACTCTCGATAAGGAATCTTGACGAATGGACATATTTCTCATGCTTCCTGGAGACAATTCCATCCAGATATTATACCTAAGGTAAAGTCTCAGCCTGCGGTGCGTCTTTCCAACCGGCGTGGTTCGTCGCCCTTTCTAAAATAATTTGTCCCACCGTCTTATTCTTGGTGCCCAGGTACCCCGCCTTTCGCATCTCCCATCCTGCGGTGAAAAAAAGACCGACAGTCGGCCATTCTTCTTCAGGAAACGACCCGGAATTGCTCAAATACTCGCGCCTCCCCCAAGAGACTCTTACTTCTTCCTGTTTCTTCAAGCGCAACACCTGCCATACATTACGTCCTTTCAGGCCTCCTCCCCCGCCTTGCCCATTGTGTTTGCTTTTCTGTTTTTCAGGTTCTTTTTTAGCAAAGGTGAGTCTCGACATCCATCTTGTATTGTCTCGGAAGTTCATGACACCGCTACCTGTTGTCTGTCTTGTTCTGCCACCGCCTTTCCTTATTCACGATACCCAGTCCGACTGCCTCCTAGAAGCTACCTGTCCTGGAGGAAGGGCAGTTCCAGTGTCGATACAATGCAGGGCTCAGATCCCAGGGCCTCAATCCCAGGGCTCAATCACCCACTGTCAAGACGTCCCCTCAAATCCTTCTCTATCGGCACATCGCTTCCGCAGCCCCCACTTACCCCTCGTATCTCGATCTCGGACTTTTCAAACGAACTTTTGAAACGCGACCGCTAACCCGAGTATTCAGTTCTCGTTTCCCAATAGAGCATAATGGCTGCTAACGGCGTCAACGGCACCAACGGAACGAACGGGGTGAGCGGGCGGAGGCACCACAACGAGGGTACCTTCCTCTTCACCGTAAGTTACCAGCTCGTTAAGCCGCTTTTTTTCGGTGCTAACTTTCTTTGTCAGTCCGAGTCCGTCGGCGAGGGCCACCCGGACAAGATCGCTGATCAGGTCTCGGATGCTATCCTCGATGCCTGCCTGGCCGAGGATCCCCTCTCCAAGGTCGCTTGCGAGACGGCCACCAAGACCGGCATGGTCATGGTCTTTGGTGAGATTACCACCAAGGCCAAGTTGGACTACCAGAAGATTGTTCGCAATGCCATCAAGGACATTGGCTATGACGATTCATCCAAGGGGTTTGACTACAAGACTCTCAACCTGCTGGTTGCCATCGAGGAGCAGTCTCCCGATATTGCACAGGGTCTTCACCTGGATGATCGCCTAGAGAACCTTGGCGCCGGTGATCAGGGTATCATGTTCGGATACGCCACCGACGAGACGCCTGAACTCTTTCCCCTGACCCTGCTCTTCGCTCACAAGCTTAATGCGGCCATGGCGGCTGCTCGCCGTGACGGCACCCTGCCTTGGCTCCGCCCCGACACCAAGACCCAAGTCACCATTGAGTACAAGCACGACAATGGCGCCGTTGTGCCTCTCCGTGTCGATACCGTCGTCGTCTCTGCCCAGCACAGCCCGGAGATTACCACCGAGAAGTTGCGCAAGGAAATTCTTGAGAAGATCATCAAGACCACCATCCCCGCCAAGTACCTTGATGATCGCACTGTCTACCACGTAAGTCGGCAAACGAGATGAGAGGCATGACTTCTAGTACTAACAGCCATAGATTCAACCTTCGGGCCTTTTCATCATCGGTGGCCCCCAGGGCGATGCTGGTTTGACCGGACGCAAGATCATTGTCGACACCTATGGTGGCTGGGGCGCTCACGGTGGCGGTGCCTTCTCTGGCAAGGACTTCTCCAAGGTCGATCGGTCGGCTGCGTATGTCGGCCGCTGGATCGCCAAGTCCCTCGTCGCTGCTGGTCTCGCCCGCCGGGCCCTTGTCCAGCTTTCGTACGCCATCGGCGTTGCCGAACCCCTCTCGATCTTCGTGGAGACGTACGGCACCTCTGAGAAGACATCGGACGAGCTTGTCAAGATCATCCGGGACAACTTTGACCTCCGGCCGGGTGTCATTGTCAAGGAATTGGATTTGGCCAAGCCCATCTACTTCCAGACTGCCAAGAACGGCCACTTTGGCACCAACCAGAACTTCAGCTGGGAGAAGCCCAAGCCCCTCAAGTTCTAAGCGGGACACAATGTCACAGAAGATTCAACTTCTCTCTGTTGATATAATCTCGCTCGTCCTCGGACGTCATCCTTTTCCCTTTCCTTCGTCGTTTTTTTGGGCATCGCATGGGTAAGCATTTTTGGCGTACGGTTCTCAACAAACCTGGGTGGGCTGATAGAATTATATCCCTAACTTTTGCCTCACGCTTGGGCCATCTGGGTTGTATGGTAAACGCTTGTGGCGTCGTTGGGTTTGCAAGGATAGGTCACCAGTTCTTGGTTATTCCTCTTTCTCCTGTCTTCGGGTGACTGTGTCTTGGAGTTTCTGTGATCACCAAAAAAGTGTCAGAGCGGGCGGGTACGGTGGTCGGCGTCTTTCAACAAAGACATTGCATAAGCCAAGGAGGCCAAGTTTATGACATTGCGATACCCCATGGGGACACGGCATACAAGGAAACGGACATTGGCGTTTTGGGGAAAACAAAAGAACTTCAACATCTTTTCTTTTCCTGCGTCGTTCGACGCCAATAATGTCTTTTTGGCTTGGCACGACGGGAGGAAAGATCAAGGCAGGGTCTGAAACTCAGGCCACGGGTTTGAGGTCTTGCATAGGGGGGAAACAGGACAGGGACAGATCAAGGCCGATGTATGAGCAGCAGCGACCTGGCCCTCTTTGACATAGATTCAAGCATTGATCTCTACCAGTACCCATCCATTTGTGGAAGCCAGGATAGGTGTGGTGCACACAAGTGTACAACTGTCATGATGATGTGGCTCGTCTAGGTTTTGTCTGGCTAGATCTGGTAAGAACAAGGAGTAATGGTGGCAAGCAGCGACCTTCTGCATCTGGATATAGACAAGGCAATCAGGTGCAGGTGAGAACGGCCATCCCTTTCCCTCGAGTTCTGCAGTTCCTCTCACTGCAGGATTGCCCACCAGTTCCATGCACAAGAGCGGTGAATTGGACAAAGGAAGCTTCGAGACTGGTTGTTGCATTCGCCAATCACAGTCAGCTTTATGCCGATGGCCGATTGGTTAGAGCCTCAAAGGGCATAATCTGCGAGATCTTCAGATTTGCTGCTGACCCAAAAATGCGTCTGGTGGATGAATGCAGTCAGGCCCTGTCCCTGATCCACCGTCTCGAGCAGGGAAACTGACGGACAGATTGAAATGGAGCATACACGCGGGCCCCTCTCTTTTCTTGCGGTTCGTTCGGGATCTCTGTTCGGGTAGTGAATCGTTCTATTACATGCAGGGAGTCCCTGCTTTTTGCCATTGGATGCTATGTAATATGTAAGGGAATGGAACGTTGGCGCTAACCCAGTAACGAGGTCAACTTAGTTAGTCGTAACGTACGGATACTGTACCGTACAGTCTCCATTGATCCCCCGCCAACTGTAGGACACGCCGTAAAGCATAGTTATACTTTACATCCACCAGTCCTTAACGAAGAGAAGAGCTTTGCTAGCAAGCAAACCATGGCACTACTACTCAGTTTTATGGGAACGCCGGAGAAAGTCATCACACAATCAATTCATGCTATAGTACAAAAATATTATGTTGTATAGAACAATACCCGTCTCGGTCATTTACATGATAACGTTATCTGTAATTAACACAACGTTAGGGGCCTGATTGGCGGGAGGGATCCAGCGAAAAATCCCAACCCATGAAAAAAACGAAACTGTTATTCTGTTAGAACGTGACTGGTATTCTGTTAGACGATGTGGCTCAACGCGCCAGCCAAGGCCACCACTCACCACAAATTCAACCTCAGGCCACCTTCCAGGCGGTCAACGTCGATCTTAACCACCGATTTTTCCTCATTCAACAATTGATTAAATCCACCACAATTGATTGAAGCTATCGCCATTCGTTTGAATTCCATTACGAATCCTACAGCCACGTTTGATAGGCGCATTGAAGCATACAGCGGAATCCAGTCGGGTTGAAGCCGCTGACCGGTGGTTAGGATTAGGCTTGTTTACATCAGCTTCGTCGAAAACGCACGCGTTTGATTTTCATTGCGGATTTGAGCTTTTCAGCCCTCGGGAGGGCCAGGAAGCCAGAGGGCCAGAGGCACTATCACATAACCCAGATTCAGCATTGTAAATGTACGCAGTCATATGGTTTGCTTTTCTGCCCTGCAAAAATAGGTGGGGAGAGGAGCGTGCGCGGTGCTGCGCCACATCTTCTAACAGAATACCAGTCGCGTTCTAATAGAATAACATTTTCGGGAAAAAAAGGGGTCCGGACGGATGTTCGCCAAAGAAATTCAGGCACAGCATGGATCTGTGGAGACCTGGCGCGTTTCTTGGTCTGAATTGGCGCGCCCCACCCCTCCCAAGGAACAATTTACACCACGTCCGCTTCGACACCGCGAGCCTGGAAGAAACGAAGGATTTGCTGGGAGTGGTTGCGCTCACTTTCCGATTTCGCGACCAGCCAACCTTTTCCCAACCCTGCGGCCGGCTGATGACGCGATTCTCTTGAATTTCTTTTCCGTCGATCCTGGGGCGGCAGTCAACCAATTTGGTGCTTGAGACTGGACGTCATCTCTGCCCAATGACCGGTTGGTCTGTGATAGCCAAACCTTGACTACACGCACCAATGCGCCGCCGTCTTGGGGGCATTGCGGTCGAGTGCGGCGAGGCCTGATCCGTGATCTATGTGCCCTGTAACAAACTTTCACTACCCGGCAGCTCTTCATGCAATACCCAGATCGGATCCCCCAAGCAGTTGCACATCGCATTCTCGCGTCCTCCGCTTTCTGGCCTCAAGGTCACACCGCAGACGCAACTTTCCCCCCGGGCGATAGAAACTCAGCATTCCGATTCGGCAGAGAAAAGCACGTCGCCGCGTTGTCTCGACGAACACGCCCTCCGGGCGCCAATTTGGCCCGGCATTCCATTTTTCGCTTTGTGCTTTCCCCGATAGTCCAGGCCATCTGTCGTTAGACACTCGCGAGTGGAATATATTTTCCACCCGGCAGCCATGGAAGCTGCGAATGCCCACTATCACAATGGGCACCAGCAGCCAGGTCCGCCGCTGCCCGCGTCGCCGACTCTTACGAACCCCGATATGATATTGCCGGATTACGGCCGCAGCGATTCTCCAGATCCCGACCTTGGTGACCGCGGCCACTCGCCGCTGGAGATGTGGAAGAACGCCCATGCCGCTGCGGCGAGCGCCGAGATGCACCGCATGTTTGTCGCAACCGGCCTGGTACAGCGGATCGATCATCCGTATGGCCCCACAGGGCCGCTGACGCCCACCACACCCATAATCTATGGAAACGGCACCATGCTGTCGGACATCGGGGAGGTCACGGAGGTGGAGAGCACGGTCGGGAAACCCTCGCCCTCCCGGAGCAAGTTTGCCGCCCGGAGACCCATCTCACCTGGCCATGGAGGTGGGAGCGACGGACCACTCAGGTCATCTCCGACCGTGGGGCCGCCGTCTATGATGAAGAAGAAGTCAAAACAGAGCTTGCACGCCACTCGCGAACGCCGGTCGAGCATAGAGAGCACCAGCACCATCAAGACAGAAGACCAAGCTCGTCTCTTCGCTGACTTTGATGATTCGGTTAGCGTGGATGACAGCGTATTTCAAGGCGATGACGAAGAGAGCCTCGCGTCATCCTATGTCGAAGGAACAGCGGTCATCGAAACCGCACGCTTGGGAGTCGCTAAAGCCGACAGTATCGATCGATTATCTACCTACTCGACGACCTCGCTGAGTCGACGAGCCGAGGAGATTCTTGCCAACGCTAAGAAAAGGTTAACGGTATGCCTCCAGCGCACCTTATGATGTGTCCGATATGTTATTAACTGTGGCCAGACGATGGAAGGCAATTTAAGTCGGGCACGGACTTCGTTACACTATGGTACTGCATACGGCTCCGACGAGTCCACCCCGTCCCCGCCTTTCCAGAGAGCTGCTACAGTCATGCATTCTCGGGACGGTACCGCGGGCTCAGGCACATCCACTCCGGAGTTGTCTCCCAGACACAGCCGAATGGGCAGTGATGTTGCGATACGAAATGGATTACCCTACCGAGTGACGATGCCGAGGTCTCAAAGCGCGCTCGGCGCCGCTGGAGGCTACAGGCAACCGTTAGTGGCGTCAAAAAGTGCTGATCAGCTTCGTGGGCAGATGGATGAAGAGCCTGGCCGCTCCACGTTCAAGCTCAATCCTGCCCGGGAGACTTCGCTGCAGCCGCTAACAGAGGACGAGGTTGCGCGGCTTGGCGAGGCGGATAGCATGAGCCAACACGCGAGGCTTGAGGCTTTTCTTAGTCCCACATTCGGGTCATTTGACAATGGCAGTAACTCGAGAAGATCAGCTTCTTCGGCGCAGATGCGAGACATTAAAGATCAAATGAAGGACCTCAAGGGCAAAATCTCGAGCCTACGAGAGCAAGCCCGTGCCGACAGCCTAAAGAGGCACAGTATGCAAAGCCTCCGGACTCCCAGTCCGTTCACGCATGCGCAGATAGACCAATGGTATGCTCGGCCTCGTTCGAACAGGACTTCAGAGATTTCTACGAGCACCGTTACCGGCAGAAATCCGTGGAACGGCGAGGAGTCAAGTGTGGATGGCGATTCCAAGGAGCAGGTGGACCAACTCGATCGCGACGACGCCGCCGAAGAAGACGTGGCCTACATTAACGGAAACGGTGTGCAACCTGAACAAGCCGCCAGTCACTCTCCAGAAGCTGAGCCTTTATCCCCCGGCGACCAAGAAGTCAGCAGCAAAGCCGACGAAGACGACGCTGACCTCCTCACGGAAAATGGCGATGTGGACGGTGAACAGGAGGATGACTTCCAAGACGCAGATGACTTGGATTACCAGAGCGAAAGCGGCGAATCACTTTATCACGACACCGTTCAGCACCAAATATCTCACGAAGACCGTGAGGACGCATTTGACTACGAGCACTTCTTCTTGCACAGTGCTATGGGTACCATGAGCCAGCAGCGGCTGGCAAGACGAGGGAGCCTAGACAGTTATACCTCGGAGGACTCGGTTGAAACGACGAGGGGGCCAGTGCTTAACGTTGACCACAGCCCCGATCGATCGCACTCCATAACACGGCGGAACAGCAGCGATTCGATATCGACAATTGGGACATTTGCCACGGCCGACGAGGGTAGATCAAGGAGGTCTGTAGAAAGCCCCGATGGCGCAAGCATCCGTTCTCACGACACCTTTGAGAGCTTCCCCAGAGCCAGTTCCTCAGCCCAAAGCACCCGGCACCGGTCGGGGAGCACAGCGACAGCCAAGCGGCTATCTCTTGGTGTTCACCCGCTAGTATCCGCCCCCCTAGGCGCCACCAACGCGACAAGAGACAGCGACGGCTCCATCTCCCCCATCGCCGAAGAGGACACAACAGCAGCCGAGGCCAGCCAACAACAACCCCGCCGCAACTCGGTCATACACCGGCCCTTCTCTATCCACAGCGCCTCCAGGAGCTCCCTCCACCGGCCTTCCGTCTCGTCCTTTGAGTCTGTCGGCACAAACCGCAGCTTTCCCCTCGTCAACAAACCCGCGGCTAGCGCCAAAGCCAACAGCACGGGCATCTTGACGCCACGGGATTCCCCGGACCAGGAACTCAGGCACATCTCCAGTACTCTCTTGAGCGAGACGGTCAGTAGCTTCGAGCAGCAGCAGCTCAAACAGCGACAACCTCAACAGCCTGATACCGACGAAGCGGAAACTAGCAAGGCCGCAGGCGCCGGCGGAGTTGTTGATGGAGGAGATGGTGACGCGGGGTCGGCGCAACCACACCCGCTCCAATCGCTGCTCCGAGAGGACAAATACCTCGTTGAGAGGATCGTTGCTGGCTTGGGCAGATGCGTGTTGGGCCTGACGGAGAACGGGAGGGCCAGCGCAGAAAGCAGAATGTTTCGCCGCCGGATCGATGCGGCCAGGCGCATCTTGGAGGGCTTGGATGATGTCTGAGCAATCTCTGCTCTATTGGCTATCTACCAAATTCTGCCGGACCTTCGTGGCGTGAAGCTCCTTTTTGGTGGCGGCGGGCTGGTCCAATTGGAAAAAGAAAAGGATCGAATAAAGTCATAAAGAAAACACTAGGGGAGAAAAAAAGCCTGATAGAAGGAGGATTGCAAGACGGGACGACGTATGGTATGGTGTGCCATGAGATAATGACGGTTGTAGGTCGGGGTCAAGGGATAAGGGGTGTTGTCGATGAGGGGACGGCGATCGCTGCCTAATGATTTGGATCGGACAGATGTCTTCTGGGATGGCAGGGGGTTCTCTTCTGTTTTTGAGAGAACCGGAAACGCTGGGACTAGTGATGTCCCTTTTGCGGCAACGACTTGAACTGTCTTTTCGACAGAGAGTCATATTCTTCTTGCCTACTGCAGGTTGTTGGGCTCGGTTTGGATGGGGACCCACACCCGCGGTATTCGACTCCGGGCATGGGCCTTTCCCTCCACGTTTCGAGGGCCGGGCTTCCCGTCAAGGCATCTTTTTTCCTTTCACCTTAATATTTGGTTCGATACCCCTGATTATGCTTCGTAGTATATAGGATAGTTGTGATTGGTAATCATGAGGAATTTGGATAATCGCCTACAAAGATCCGGCACATACAAGGCGCTTCCCGTGAGGTCTTTGTCATCTCTCGACGGGTGTCACCGGCATTTGTTTACCTCCATAGCTCCCCTTTTTTGGCCTTTGCTCTGCAATCGACGCGCATCGACAGAGCTTCGCACAACATAAAATTGCTGCGATAAAAACCCATCATGGACGCATATCATCGCTGAACACACCTGTCCTGGCTTTTTCCGCAGCATCAGATGTTCCCTCAGGACGCGGCCGGTTGGCGATTAGTCGCTATTGCACATACGGGAGATTAGCTGACAAGGGCTTGCTGATAAAATACTGAACGATACGTACCACGAGGTTCCGCAACAGCACGGCAATGGTCACCTTGCCGATGCTTGGCACATAGATGCTCGCCTTCTCCTTGACCGCGGGCCCGTCAAAGTTGCGGTGGCTTGAGAAGTTGATGCACACGGCGCCTTCCCGGATGAGCTCGGTGGGGACCTTGAAGTCCTCGCTCGGTACGCCCCCAATGACCACGTCGCTGAGTGGCAGCACGTCCTTAAGCCCCCAGCCGTCCTTGTCGTGCACCTGGTGGCGCGGCGCGCGGATGCCGCTCCCGCGCGTGAAAACTTGCACCCCGGTGATGTCGACGCTGTAGACGGTGGCGCCATCGTTGGCGAGGAGGGCGGCCAGGGGTCGGCCGTTGACCTCGCTGCGGTTAATGACGGTGATGGTCTTGCCGTAGAGGCGGTTGCCGTAGGCTAGGATCGGGTTGTAGATCTGCAGGTGCTCGAGGGCCTTGACGATGGCGAGCGGGGTGCAGGGCAGGATCGACTTTTTCAGGTTGGTGGGCGGATCGAGGAAGCGGATGTTGTGGTACATGTTGAAGAGATGGGTGTGGCAGAGGCCCTCGACATCCTTGGACAGAGCCACCGTCTCCTGGATGTAGCGGTCTTGTTGTTGGTTGTTGGGCCAGATGGGGTAGTAAACGAGGATGCCATCGACGGCATCGTCGTTGTTCGCGGCCACGATGGCTTCCTCGAGGGATTCCTTGTCGACTTTGCGAAGGTCGAAGTTGAAGCCGCTGTGAGAATGGCCATTAGCATCAACTGAGATCCCAGGGTATGCCACAACGGCATGCATAAGGTACAGTACAGCACTCACTTTTCCTCGCATGTCTTCTTGGACCAGTCGGCGTACTGGCTTGCGGCAGGGTCATCGTTGGCCAGGAAGGCAACCAATGTAGGCTTGCCAGCCCCAGGAACCTGGACGCTAGCAAGAGTCTCTCTGACCTCTGCCAGGAGCTTCTTAGCTATTGTGTCTGCGAGAATGACCTTGCAGGTCTTGGGAACTTCTTGGGATGCCATCCTAGGCGGGCTGGTATTCAAGAGGTTTTGTCACCCTAGGCTGTTAAGACGCTGAAAGACTGGGCTGGCTAGCAGCGAAATTAGCGCAGCTCTCGTCAACTGGCATAGTTTGTTTCAGGATTGGCCCTTGCCCTGCGGTCAATGGCGAACATCGAGTAAGAAAGGGCCAGGGTGGCTGGAAAAATGAAAAGATACGACACTGAGCCATGCTGAGTGCAGGTTTAGGGCCACCAATGTCTGGGAGTGTTGAGCACTGCAGTTGACTCGACATGTCTTGAAAGTAAGGACAGTACTAGAGTACTGCGAAAAGGGGCGGGAATACCTAGGAGTGAGGTGCTGAGGGAGGACAGCCTTACCCCGCGAACCCCCACTAACGAGGTAATCGATTAGCAGTCCCTGATTACTTTGATGAACTCGCTGGAGACCAAACTTGGGTGATACAAAGAACCAGTGTTCACGATGAAGGTATTCAATTTGGAATGCCTCTTCTACAGATTTTGGCCTTGGTCTTAGATGATTAGATCAACTCCCGGCAGCTGTTCGGAGCTGCTCTGAATATCGGCGGCAAGACCCAGTCACACTTTGCCGTACCCAAATTTTCACGCGGCAGAAATTTGACATTTGCAACCCCTCTTACCAATTGGAGTTTAGGGCGAGCCAAACAAGCATGATAGCGTCATATCCAGATTCACCGCCCAAGCCATTGGGTTTTTACTGCCGCGGGGCAACGTGGGGCAGCAGGCGATAACGGCGCTGCTGTTGCTGATCGCCAATCCAATCAGGCATCACGTTCTCTCACAGATCGAACGTCAGTTATGGTTGGATAAATCGAGACAAACCAAGAAGTTCCCCCCCGATATATTCTCTTGTTACGTCGCAACGTTGCGCGTTGATTCTCTAAACATTTTGAGTTCATTACACTTGTCTATTTTTCAGTTCTAAGGTGCTGCTGTGTCCCGCAGAAAACCAGGCACCCGGGCTCTCGCGAGGCACAAGGTTGTGCAATACTACCTCTCAAAGAAAGACCACATTCTGGACCTGTGTTGTTGAAGGCCGCACACAGTGGTGCGCGTCCTTGCCGCATCCAAGGAGTCATGGCCCAATTCAGTCAGTGGGCGCTGCAGTATGTTCTCTCTGATGATGAGCCCGCCCAGCTCGAAATCACTCAGAAGGCAGCAAGAGGTAAGAAGACCCCTGCTTCTAATGCGATCTCATACCGAGCACGCCTCCTAATTTTGCTATATACAGAAATCGAAGCCTCTCGCGCCAGCAGCACAGTAGTGGGAAATTGGGCCGCCTCGGTTCAGCAATGGATGACCCCGGGGTTTGCTAGAGACGACGATCAGGTGGAGGATGGAGATGAGGGAGTTAGCGGTGATATTATTGCTCGTGCCAAAGGCATGTACATATCTATGGTCCCATTAGTATCGTCGATATGTGGCCACTCCAATGCTGACTCCTTCTTGACTCTCAGCGCTGAGCTTCCTCGCGGACACCTTGGAGACTCTGGACCGTAACACGCTGAAGTCAGATCAAGGTACGAGCCATTGAATAAATGCCCCGAGGAGACATGCTGAAATGGATACACAGTTCTTCGGCTTATTGGTTTCTTCGGCGCCATGTTCTCCTACGACCACAAGGCAGGCATCACAGCATCAGCAAAGGCTCTGCGGCAGCTATGTGCCATGAAAAGCTTCAAGCCGGACATGGGCGTCAGAGTTATTGACGACGTGTGCAAAATCAGGGAGGACTTTCGTTTGCAGACCGCGGCTACTAGGCTAGAGATCTACGAGCTCCTTCTCGCTCTGATCCAAGATCCCTCCGTAAGCAGCGAGCTACAGCACAAGTATGGCGCTTCTTGTGGTTTTGCTGTCGAGCTCCTTCAGCTATGCCAACATGAAAGAGACCCGAGAAACCTCATGATTTGGTTCAAGATTCTTGCGATACTAGTCAAGGACTATGATCCATCCCCCGAGGTGACTGAGGAGATCTTCAAGGCTTTCTCCGCCTACTTCCCTATATCATTGCGAAGCTCTACTACCCCTATTGGCATCACCGCTGAGGACCTCAAAGAAGCCGTTCGGGGCTGTTTTGCATCACATCACCGCCTTGCCACTTTTACCTTCCCCTTCCTCATCTCAAAACTCGATCAAGGAGACGCTGTCACAGTTGCTGTCAAGGTTAGTTCGTCCTGCTGCTCCGCCTTTATATAGCTCCTTCTCGACCCCCGCAGAGCTCCAGATAGGCATATACTGACATTTGCTAGGTTGACATTCTCAAAACAATCAAGGCGTGCATCGAAGAGTACGAAAACCCCCAGGCGAGCATTGTCCCTCACACTGAGAAGATATGGAACTCTCTCAAATACGAGGTGCGGAATGGCGAAGTGAAGGAAACCATTGATGCTACACTGGAAGTGTTGCGAGCCATCTCCAGGAAGCTCGACGGCACAAAGACACACAAACTCGACGTTGCGTTACTCAAAAGTTATATCGACCTAGTATTCAGGGATTGCCGCGACGACCTCGCAAATCCCACTTACACAAAGCAGGCTGGTCTCTTGATTATGACGGTCATAGGGGCAAACATCAGGGGTTACGTTCTCTATAACGCCGGATTGATCGACACCATCCGGCAAAATCTAAGGCAGCCAAAGTCGCCTTCCCATAAAAGGGATCTCCTTCTTCTCTTGAACTCTACCCTCAAGACGCGCATGGAGCTGTCCAAGCAAAGAAAGCAAGGACATCCCGAGGACGAAGAAACGCTGCGATCAGAATCTCGTGCACATCTGGAGACCTTGTTTCACGATGCCTACCTCCCGATATGGGCTGGCAAATCCAAAGAAATGATCGCGGAGGAAAGCGACGTTCTGAAGCAAGTCATCCAAGGTTTTGCCCTGCTAGTCAGCCAGCAAGTGTTGCAGTCTGATGGTCAAGCCGCCCTCCTGTACCCTACTCCGACCTGTTCCGAGATTTGCTCGCTGCTATCTCTAACACTTACCAACGGCTTGGCTCTGAGCTCTAATGACAGCAATGCTGGCGAGCCAGATCTCGAGGACGAGGCAGTTTTGGCCTTGCGAAACATCGTCATGAGTTACAGATATGGCTACGAGGAGATCTCGGGCAGAGTGACAGCGGAGATCAGGAAGCGGGACTGGGCCAGCCCGTCTGCGTACTCACTTAACGCACTGAAAGATCTTCTTTCGCGTTTTACCTTCATTGGGTGCTCCGAGATCCCCTCGAAAATTGCAACGAACCCACCTTCTCAGCAACCGTTCTCACCGCTTCAGCATTTTCTCACTCTCACTGCAAGTCTCTTGGAACTATTCCCCCTCTCCTCTCGGCTTTCGACTCCACATTCTACTGGCAATCTTGAAGAGGGCCTCGCAAATGCTCACATAGTGTCCTCGCTGCACGCATCACTCCTGTGGTTCCTGGAAGCTTGTGAAGCGAAATATGGCCGGGAAGCACTCGCCTCCTACTCCTCGAGTGACCAAAACTGGCTTGAGCAATTCCAGCATCTACCTGATGACTGGCTGATACAGATTCGTCGAGGGGACGCAGATTTGCTTGGAACACTAGTCTCTTTACAGCAGGATGATCCAGAGGTCTATCGTCAGTTTCTAAAACTTAGTCTATTCAATGTGCGGTATCTCTTCCGAGCTGCCTCCGCAGGGTCACGACAAACATGGAGCGAGAGAGCCCTTGCGCTGCTGTCACAAATGTCGGCATTAGTTGTACGGAGCCTGAGCGAGGAGTTGCAAGTTTCCTGCAATCTGGCTCATGAGGCATTCAACTTCTTCGCTGGTCCAGCTGAGGACTCTAAGAGGAGCGCTTCGGATATCCAAACTGGGATACTGACCGTCGGAATCCTCCAAGGGTTACGGCCAAGGGCATTAGCTGGATTGGTATGTCCTTCCAATACGTATCTTCCAAGCTTGGCTGACGAGTATTTCTCCAGTATCAGGGAGTCGGCGTTGCAGAAAAGCACATGTGTGACACGTCCGGATTCGGCACCTCTCCTTCCCAAGAAAGCAGTGTCCGTGCAGCTATCGGTGTGATACTTGCCAACAAATATCAGGGCGTGTCTGATCCTGAGACTTCAATGATGAAACGAGTGCTGGACTTCTGGGCCAACTGGTACACGGAAGCGACCGCTTCAGCGCCCATTAACTCGGAAGCCTTCAGCTTCCACAACACAGTTGCCATGAACGTCATTGCCGGAGCCGTGGCACGGCAGGACAGGAACGTGATTAGCGTGATTCCGGCTCTGCAACGAGCAGCAGCGAGCCAGCACGCCAACGGCGAAATTGTTGCCAGATCTATGGGCATCCTCCTTCAACACAACAATCTTCTCACTCAGGAGAACCATGCGGTGGTCAAGCGGTTCTATAAGCAGTGGGCTTACAGCCATCTGGCCAAGCCACTCTATGAAGATGCTCTCCCTGGGGGGAAGGACAACCACACAGCGAACAGGTATCGCGTTGTGATCCTATCGGTGGTCAGCAACTGCCCGTTTACAGTCTACCAGGACGATCTGGAACCCCTCATTAGGCTACTGGTCACTGCGCTGAGCGATCGTGGCGCGCTTTCGGAGGGGGTTTCTTGGACACAGGTGACCTCGGCGCTCCAGATCCTGGTTGAGATCCTGACGAATGAGCCGGACGCGCTTAAGGGTCATTTGCGGGAGATAATAGGGCGGACCACGAAAGTTTACGAGGAGTGCTGCCAGAAGAAGGCGGGCTTGGCAGCCACCCTCGCGACGTGCCGTAACCTGGCTCTTCAAGTGTTGGGGGCGATCCCGACTAAGTTCGAAGAGCGGTATACGCTTCCACATGCGCCGCCCATGCAACGCATGCTGGCAGTTGCTTGTGGGGATCCTGTCCGGAAAGTGCGCGAAGTCGCACGCAAGGCGAGAAGTAATTGGGCCAAGGTGGTTTAATGACTCGCCCCCAGGTCCTTCCGCGTCCAGATCACGGAATCCAGGAAGTTGCACTCGCAAAGGCATATAGAGGATTTGGGGTGATGAAGACAAGGGTATCTCTCTTCCCAGCTTACTCTGAAGCAATTCCACATGATGTACAATTGCAGACGGGCCGAGGCTAATTTTATGCTCCATCTGAGCAGGCCGATTTTCAATACCAGGCCTTTTGAATATTTCCTCAAACAGCAAATGACTCCCTTGTCTTTGACTCCCATCATGAAAACCCGAGATCAGTCCCGCTGTTATTACGCCTTCCTCCTCTTCCCACCCTTCTTCCCCGCCGATTCCGCCCCCGTGGCCGCCTCGGCTGCGGACCCCACGACGCTCAAATTTGCATCGGAGAGCATGTCGAGCATCTCGGGCGTGTAGGCTGGCACTGTAGCATCGCCTGTGGACGAGACCACCCTCTTAGGATCAAGCCTCCCAATCACGGGCACAGCACTGGCCAGGACCGTCTGGAACGGCGCGGCAACAAAGTGGCCCGCGGCGTCGAACCACTCAGTAAACGCCCTGCTGACCTCAAGACGCTCCCTCTTGTGCTTGCCCCCCTTGTCCTTGCTTTCAATGTCGATGGTCAAAAAGTAGGTCGGCACGTTCTTGCGCGTCGACGTGGCGATGCGCACCGTCTCGCCCGACGGCGCAACCCCTTCGTACACGGTGCCCCGCTCCACGTAGAGCACCCACAGCGTCAGCGCCCCGTTGACGAGCGTGTACAGCGCCACGGCGGCCGCCGTCAGGTACTTTGTCGAGTCGAACCCCAGCTTCCAGTCCCACACGAAGCAGGCGCCCGCGAGCAGCAGCGCCGAGTACCCCAGGGCGAGCCGCACGTCGGTCAGCCGGTGCGACTGGCGGAATTTGAGGCTGTTGAGGTAGTTTGGGATGGCGTCGTCCGAGGTGTTTTTGAGGTCTGGTTTTTTTCGCATAGTCAGTGTGCTGGTTGAAATGAGACAGGATTGAGCATTTGACATACCTGCTAGGTTGTAGAGCGTGATTCTTTCTTGGGAGACGGCCATTTTGGACAGTGATGGTCGAGGACCGGTTCTAAGAAACGGGAATATGCTGGAAGTAAGAAAGGCCGAAGCTGTGGTGTTAGAGCCAGAGAGATCAGCCTGGCCGTCGCAGCTCTGGTCCTGTATAAACTATGTACCTTTTCTGCTGCGTTGTAGTTCTCAATCACAGCCAGCAAGGTAAAAAGGCATGGAAAGGCCACATGCACTTTCCAGGTTCGGCTGCAGCTAAGACGGCATTCAGCGAACTCACACCCCGAACCTCCAATTTGGTTGGACCGTGCACCACTGCTATGTACGGTGGCCGACAGGGGTTGAATGAGAGGCAGAACACCCCGGAGCTTGGCAGGGCGACCTTTTGTGGACGACACGTCTTGCAGCTTCCTTGCTTCACCAGTATTCCGCAGCTCAAAGGATCTGTTGATGGCAGCAAGAATGGCGCAGGTACCGGTACAGACGATCCATAGGGATCCCCAATTATTGTAAGCCCAACATGTATCCGATTCTGGATGCTTGATTGTTGACGAGCGCACTTGCATACAGCTACTGGATCCTGTTCCCAATCACCATCGTGATGGTACGCTGAACCAGGACGGACTCGATCTCAACGGCCTAGACACTTACGCATTCTGACTAGATTCTCACCGGCGTCCTCCGACATTACGCGAGCGTCCTGATGGCATCTGCGCCCAAGAGACTCGAGCAGAAGGCGATGCGTGAGCAGCGGAGGCTGATTCACGGCATGAACCTGCGAGGAAACTTCCACGTCTTGTCGCAACGCTCCTTTGCCACGCGACGGGACGCGCTCATTACGGCCTATGAGTCGGGTACCTATCTCAAGGATCCAGAGCGCCGTGGCCAGGCGCCGCCCAACCCCATGAGCGACCCCAGCTCGATGGAGGGCATGATGGGCATGATGAAGAACCAGATGGCCATGATCATCCCGAATACGCTGATCATGAGTTGGATCAATGCCTTTTTTAGCGGATACGTTATCAGTGCGTCTCCCAGTCTCGTCGTTGACGAATTCCTGCCCGACTGACCCGGGTTCCAGTGAAACTGCCATTCCCCCTTACCATCAAATTCAAGAGCATGCTCCAGGCTGGCGTGGCTACCAAGGATATGGATCCGCGGTGGATGTCAAGCATCAGCTGGTACTTTTTGTGCATATTTGGTCTGCAATCCGTCTTCAACTTCCTGCTTGGCAGTGACAATGGTAGGCTTCGTGTTTTCTATCTGGCCGCTGGGAACCTCCCGTATGAGCATACCGGCTAATTCCTCCCCAGCCGCCAGCCAAATGGCGCAGCAGATGGGCCAGATGGGCCCTCAAGCAGGGCAAATGTTTGGCCCGGGCGTAGATCCCGACAAGCAGTTTCTCGCCGAGGCCGAGAACCTTGCGGTCGTTGAGCACCATTCTGTGCTGGACGGCGTCGAGCAGCGTCTTCTGGAGGGTATCAAGGTTTAGACATGAAAAGCCATATATATGAGCGCCACGCAGACGCAGCTTCTCTCGCGCCCGGGCACAGAATGCTCAGTTATTTCCAACTCGAATTTGTGGTCCGCCGTCCGACGCGCTGTGGTCATTCCCACCACAGATAACAACCGAGACCGGGGCCATTCATCGAACCAATGATCCTGTAAGGCGGCTTCGAGTCGGCGAGAATGACTTCTTCCTCGGATGCTTCGGGCGGCCCTGACGGTGCCTGGTCATGCCATTCTTCGGCCATCACCCTGAAACGCACCATCTCGTTGTTATCAAAGTACAACTCCTGTCCCTCATACTTCCAGACCCAGAGGTTTTCGCTAGAGTCGCTGGAAGGACAAGTCAGTCGGCGCCCCCCAAGTCTTCACGTAAACAGGACCTACAATTCTGAGCCCTCTGGGAGCTCGATTGCGGGGATGAAGATGTCTTCGAAGAAATCTGTAGCGACTGGGGAGAAGGATATGTCAGTGCCAGAGATGGTGCCATGCCAAAGGGGAACTCACGATTTATCCCTTCGACTGTTTGGTCATGGATGCGTGCTATGACGACCTCTCCCTTAAATGGCCGAAACACGACCATGCGAAATTCGACTGCCAACAAATCTAGTTCAGACAAGTCCAAATATTATACACATCTGAGGATTGCATGATTGCGCTCACCATTAACATTCGCCGTGCCGGTGCCCCGGCCAATAAGACCCTCTGATGTCCAGAGAATATCCCAGAGGCAAATGCAGAGTCCAACCTTCTGCACAATCTAGACGTGGTACACAGTTAGGCAGATAAGATTAGAAAGGAGATGCAGAGAACAGGGCGACAACCTGCCTTATTGGCATACTTGGCGTTGATGTTATCCTCGATGGCCGCGAAGCTGGGCTTTCGGAAATCGTCAGGTGCGATCTCCACCAGGTCGGCTATTTTGGTCTACTGCGGCATCACGAGTCATCAGTGAAAAAATCTAAAAGTAACCGGCAAGTGGCAGGCGGACCAGAATGAACATGTCGGATTGTGCTTGAACTCGCTGCAGGGAGATGCAGCAATACTGTAGTAGCCTGTAGCTTGCTTGACGTTGATCAGGAAATTGAAGATGAGAAACAGACAAAAATGAGACAATCTAATTACTGAAGAGCAAAATGAAATCCTGGGTTCACGGGTGACATGAAGTTTAATAGGTTATCTACAAAAGGAGCACATCCAGGTCTCCTAGAGCTTCAAAATTTCGTCTCTTTTGCTGGAGCCCAGCGATAAAGTGCAGGACGTCGCTTCACTGCATTCCGCACTGCCAAGAAAATTCTGCCAGTCGGCAGACATGCGCTGATCTCTCTCACCGCCTTGGGTGGGCGCAGCTGTTAACGGTCGCCGGCGCCAGTCGGCCTGAGCTCTCACCACCAAAACATCTCACTGTGAAACCGCGGAGCACCGGGCTGGCCTAGTGGCACACATATATTCGCTCCCCCTCCGGAGTCTTCTCCTGCACACCAAATTTGCAAATCTTCAGCCCGCTTTCTGTCGTCACACTTCGGGCTTCTCTTTTTCTACCGCACCGCCCAGATCTCCAGATTCAAGTGAAAAGACGTCGATCGGGCCGTTCGGTTGCTCTCATCTGCGTTATTCTCCCTCAAGTTGTCCGGTTTGCCTACCTTTGTTGGTTTTTGCGTTTTTCAGAACCGGCGTTGCAGCTTCCGGCTGTGGCCTACGCACCATGTCGTACAATTACGGTCCGCCCCCTCCGGCTCCACCGGTAGCGACCTCGGGCGGTGCCCCAAGCGGTTACCCTCCCTATGGACCCCCTCGCGGCGGCCACAGTGGCAGAGGCCGCGGAGGTGCCGAACGCGGTGGCTACCACCAACCGCACCAGCCGCACCAGCCGCACCATCCGGGCTACAGCTACAACCAGCCGCCCCAGTACAACCCCCATCAGGGCCCGCCATCGTACCCCGGACCGCCGCCGCCGCCTCAGCCTGGCTACCCACAGCAACCACCCCAGCAGCAGTGGCACCCCGAGCATGCACAGCAACACCCGCCTCAAGGCGCTCCGCACGCTCCGCTGCCCGCTCAGAACTACCATCCCAACTATGCTCCCCAGATCTATCAGCAACAGCCGTCTTACACCGGCCCGCCGCAGTACCCTCCCCAGCCCCCGTACAATCAGGCTTATCCGAGCCCTACTCCGCAACCTGGACCCCCAACTCAGCAGTGGGTCGGACATTCGCAGCCTCAGGGCCACCAAGGACCGTATGGAGGCGGAAGAGGCGGCCGCGGTGGCAGCTACAACGATCGTGGAGCGCCAAAGGGTCAGCTCATGGGACCTCCGATCAGGATCGGATTCGACAACGCCAACTCTCAGCCGGTACCCCCCGCTCCAGTGAGCGCTCCTTATCCGGGTCCCTCGTTTGGCAATCCACCTCCTGGCCCGTTCACTGCTCCCTATCCGGCCTATCCACCTCCCGCACCCTACGTGCCTGTGCCGCCCCCCTTTGACAGCCATTCGTCCCACGGCACTCGCCATCATGGTCGTGGTGGTTTTCACAATAACCGCGGGTCTCGCCCTCACTTTGGTGGCGGCGATAGGACTCCCCACCGTGGCGCCCGCAATTACAACAAAGGAACGCCCACCCCTACACCACCCGCCCAGCATCAGAAGCCTGAGGCTGCGTCGGCTGGAAAGAAGAAGAAGCGCAAGACCAATACACTGGGTCTAACCCCTGGCGATGGCTCTGATGAAGATGACGAGAATGAAGAGCAGCGCCTCAACGAAATGTATGGTGCTGATGCACCCAAGTATGTATCGAACACTTCCCACCCATACAGGTGTATAAATGCTAATAGCGTATAGCCCTCGGACCGCTTCCGAGATTGCTGCGTGGATCGCCGAGCGGCGTGCTAGGTACCCGACCAGGGCCAAAGTTGAAGCAAAGAAAGCCGCGGCCAAGACCCAGAGCGCCGATGCTAGTCAGGATAGAAACTCCACCCTGGAGCAAAAGGCCGAGAAGCTTAGGAAACAACTGGAGAAAGTCGAGTCGAGCATCAAGCGGAAGCGTGAGCAGCAGGATGAAGGCGACGACATGAGGGATCTAGATCTGAGCTCAATTTCGAGCGACGTCAAGTCTGAAGACGAGAAGCCTGAAGTCATGTCGACTCGTCAGGACTCCAACCAGATTCCTCCGCCGCCAAAGAAGGCAGATCCGACCAAGCATTGCAAGTACTACTCGACCGGAGGCACGTGTGGCAAGCGGGGCAAGTGCCGCTTCGTCCACGACCCTGCCGTCCGGGAGGCAGCCCTGAGAGAGCGCGAGATGAACGGCGGCCGCATGACCCTACAGCAGCGCCTAGTACTGAACGACAAGGAGCAGGAAGATATGGCGATTCTTAAGACGCTCGCAGTCCTTCAAGACAAGGGCATGATCCCCAAGCAAGCATCAAGCGTGCCAGCCTCCGATGGCCAGTCGGGATCCGCCCTCGGCGTTCAATCCCAGCAACCTCCTACCCCAGTTATCAAGCGGGAGCAGCCGCCCAACGGCCTTCCGCCCATTCCACCCCCCAGTGTCGCCTCAAACGACAACACATCCAAGTACCCTGGCTGGAATCTCAGCGGCTTCGGAAATACTGGTGTGCAGTCGAGCGACTAGTATTCCAGACCTACGCACCGCAGGAATTATCCTGCCATTTCCCGCCCGCGTGTCGTCTCGAATGTCCACAATACCCACACATCCAACTACCCTGGCTGGAACCCCAACGGCTTTCGCAACACAGGTGTCGGCCCCCCGCAGGCATTGGTGCGAGACAATGTTCAGTTTCAGGTAAAGGCAGAGTCTGGCTTCAGGATGGAGACTAGGCCGGCCGAAACCAAACGCTTTGTCGGGCATATTACGTATTGGTAAGAGAGCGTTCTGCTTTTACCGGGCGTCCCCAGTTGCCTACCAAGGCGAACAGTCATTTGGGACCGCACCCGTCTTCTCATGCATGGAAGAATTTGCCCTTTCGTCGCGATGCTTTTGTCGCTGCGCCGCCGAGCTTTGACAGTGTCATGGCCCACAGAGGATGTCGCCGCAAAGTCACCTGGCGATGCGACTGCAAGTGTCACGCTGTGTTGTATTTTTTTCCTTTTTCCTTTGCGTTTAGTCATTGAGCGGCCATCGGGGAGTTTTCAAGGTCACGACAATTCGTGGTCTGAAGCCTCGAGCTGGAACAGGCACCACAACGACTACGCTCGATCACTTGTGTTCTACAAAATTAGGTTCGGAGAGGACATTCGGTCAATACCTGGTACTAGACTACTAATTTCGGTTTCTTTTACGGCGTTGGGCGGCTCTGGCGCATCCGGGCTTGCTCAGCTGTTCGGCGAGATCATTCGGTCGATACCTGGTAGACAACTAATCTCGGTTTCTTCACGGTGTTTGGCGGCTCTGGCGCAGGTTGGGCTTTGCTCAGCTCGTATGATGCTGTTGGGTTGTCTTGATGCACAAGTGTGACCTGGTCTCCCGTTCTTCGAGTGTCGAGTGCTTTGGTTTGCGTTTCGCTCCTTTCTCAATGTTACAAACGTGAACCGAGTAAGACTTTGCTCGGAGATTACGTCTTCGAACTGTGAAGCCACACTATATGGAGGTTCAAGTTAACCATCCTCATCCATGGCTAGGCCTACTCGTATCGTGTCATCGCTTCCGGGAGCCATCCAAGTTGCCGAATCCCAGAGCATTCGACGCGGCTCACATGCTCCATGTAAATACATATCCGTGTACACTAGTCTGTAGTCGTATGAAGAAATACATATAAACTACAGGTTAGAATGATGCGCAATCCGCAAACGCCGAGATCTACCTTTACATTCTAAGTACGATATTTTCATGGGTATTCTTTTCATGTCCACAATCAATCACCCTCACAATCAAATCACAAATCACAGCTCCTCTTTCCCCTTCCGTTCCTGTGCCCCTGCTCCCTTCAAACGTGCCAAATTCGCCCTCCTCTGCTCCCGGATCTTATCCCTCAGCTCATGGCTCCAATGGCCCTTATCCTTTGCGTACCGCTCCGCGAACCGCGCAACACGCCAATCCCAGCATCCCTCGTCATTCTCGCCATACTCGCTCCCATCTGTTTGTCGTTGGCGGCGTTGCTCAGAGGCTGCTGCTGCGCACTCGGCGTCTGACAGCTGCCCCGCGGTGGGCCACTCGCCCACGGCGGCGCCCATGTCCGCGTCGAGGAAGTTGTCGAGCAGCAGCAGCGCCGCCGCACGACGGGTGGGGCCCCATTCCTCCTCCTCTTCTTGTTTGGATTGCTGCGATGATAGCGGTGAGGTGAGCAGCTCCAGCAGGTGCGACGGGCCGCGCGCAGTCAAAAAGTGCGACCTGATCAGCGGCGACTTGAGAAGCCCTGACAGCGACGAAATGCGCGCTTTGAGCACCCCCGGGCTGGTCGGGGAGTGCGGAAGCAGGTGAAAGGTGCTTTCCCCCAGCGAGGCTTCTGCTTCCTGCTTCTGATGATGATGATGCTTAGGCGACGGGCAGGTGTAGTCCGCCAGGGTCGTCCAGTGGCGTGTGATTTCGGAGAGGGCCTTGGGGTTGTTCTGCACCGCCGAGGCGAGGGTTAGGGAGGCCAGGCGTGCGCGGGTATGGCTGCGCTCCGGGTCGTTTTTGGTGTTGCTGTTGTTGTCTGAGGGTGATGAGGACGGGGAACGGGCCGTGGACAGACAAAAAAGCTCGCGGATTGTGTCGTAGTCCTCGGCGATCTTGAGACCGTAGTAGATGTCGTGCGAAATCTCCTCGAGCATCTCCAGGGCCTCGTCCACGTCGAGGCCCTTCTTGAGGATGGTGAGGGACTTGTAAAAGGCGTTGCCCTCGTCCGGAGTGCTCGAGGGCGGCTTCTTGATCTTGCCTGCTGGGTCATAGGCGGGCGCATTGGCGGGGATCCGCACCTGGCCGCTGTTGTCGGACGTCTCATCCCGGTCGACCAGGACCACCGAGGAGTCGACGGCGAGGCCTTCAAGTGCCGGGTTCTGCTCGTCCGGGATGTTGATCTTTGCTTCTTTCTTGCCCGTGTAGATATTTAGGCGTACGTGAAGGCCAAAGGGTAGGTCCTGATCATCGTGGACAACTTGGAATTCATCCGTCGCTTGAAAGACTTTGGGATAGCATTCTGCTGGATCGTCGGTGTGGCATATGAGTTCGACCTCAGCTGACGGTGATGGTGAAGGTTTGGAATCCCGGGCAGACGGTGAGGGTGATGATGATGCCGATGCGCCCAAAGCAATGAGACCTACGAGGGCCAGCAGATTGAGGGGAAGTAACTCCAACCTGGACTTAACCATTGTGGTTTGTGGCCAGGTGTAATGCGGAGTTTAAGAACGAAGCAGATACCAATCCAAGTTGCAGCTCAACACTCAATTTAATATTTTGTATGACTTCTTCAAATGAGACACATGGCTTTCCGTCCCAGAATTAT